CTGACCCCATCCCTTCCCACCTTATCTCCATCTAAAGTACCATTCGAGGGAGAAAATCATTGCCAACTTCTTTAGTTATTTTTACTTTAAAGTTATTCTGACACTTGACATTGCATTTATTCTTTCTGAAAACATTCTTTGGGAAGGCTTCTTGCCTTCACGCATTTCTCTCTCTGTGAGAATGCCCTCTCACCACTGACAGACAAAATGCCCTAAGTCCCTGCCGAAAACACAAGAGAACATGAAGGTGTTTGTTCTCAGGGGAGGAGAAGACCATTCCTTCAGTAACTTCTTGTAAACACTTGATCTGCACTGTTTCATTTAGTCCTCAAAACAGTCTCACAAGGGAGACACTATTTCTGTTCCCATTTGGCAAATGAGAAGACTAAGGCTCAGAAAGTTTAAGTAATGTGCCCAGTATCACAGAGCTAGTAACAGTGGAGGGTTCGTATCAGATCTATTTCGCAGAAAAGCCCATTCCCTGGGTTTTTTTTTTTTTTTTTCCATTCCCTGGGTTTTTTAACTGCTCATCTCCTGAAGGCTTTATGTGGAGGGGAGAAGACCAGTGCCTAAGAAATGGCCCACAGTGCCTGTTACAAATAGATCAGACACAAGTAAATGGCAGAGACGGGGAGTTTTGTGGACATTCAGAGGCTCCCCTGTATGTTTGGGTTCCTCTTAGAAATTAACCCCCTGTGCTTGTTTCCTGAGCTGACATGGAAGGTGCTGATCTCCCCAGGGGGCTGCGTGGGTCCTCTGAATTCCGCAGGGGCTAGGCCCAGCCCTCAACATCCTTCATATTCTTCCACTCTGGCTACTGGAAGCTGCTTTCAGGGCACAGGACTTCTACAGGGAAGATGGAGAACATACAAGTGCTAGAGCAGCGGGAAGGCCAGAGGAGCCCACAGGAGGATGGAGCCCAGGCTCTTAGCGGATATATGCCCTTGAACATTTTCCTGGCCTCTTCAATCCTCTGTAAAAGAAGAAAATGGGCGCCTTGGGTGGCTCAGTCGGTTGGGCGTCCGACTTCGGCTCAGGTCATGATCTCACAGTTTGTGGGTTCGAGCCCCACATCGGGCTCTGTGCTGACAGCTAGCTCAGAGCCTGGAGCCTGTTTCAGATTCTGTGTCTCCCTCTCTCTCTGACCCTCCCCTGCTCACACTGTCTCTCTGACTCTCAAAAATAAATTTAAAAAATTTAAAAAAAGAAGAAGAAAAGCATGAGAATGTACTGCATGAGGTGATTGTGGGGATGAGCTGTAACCTGCCTGACGCCTGGCCGGTTCTCAATACGTGATGGCTTTAAAAAAAAAACCCAGCAGTCCTTGGAACGAAGGGCTTCACAGGTATAGGGAAAACTTGGCCTTGGAGAAGGCAAGGAGCAGCTTTAATGGTTCAAGAGGTTTGGGCTCCCAGGGTGGAGGAGGGAGGAGAGAATCAAGTGCCCTTGATTAGTAGAGGTCTGCATACAGCACTTCAGGCAGGCCCGATTGTGAAGTGAGTCAGAGCAGACCCATTGACATAGAAGCCGATCGTAAGACTGATTTAAACCAGCGTATTTCCATATTCCTAGATCGTGAGTCACCTGAGCCACTGGTTTAAAATATAGATTTCCAGGTGCCTCCTCCCCAGCAGACTCTGAACCAGGTGCTCTGGGGTGGGTCCTGGACATGTGCATTTTCCACAACCCACTGGGTGACTTTACGATCAGGGAAGTTTGGAAAACATTGCTCTAAAATGTTCAAAGTGCTTAGATGCTCAGTATATAATGGAATCTGTGTAATGGCTGATTTATCATCCCCATTTTCCAGGAAAGGCAACTAAGACCCAACAAAGCTCAGCAATGTGCAGAGAAATCTGTTCACACGGGCTCAGGGTCGCTGATCGTTAACTACTCAAGGAACTTGCAATTGAATTGTTAAACCAATTTTAGCTTGAAATTAGCCATGGTAAGTAGATACACTATGGATTTCTCTTGGCTCGAGAGTGCTGTTTCCTTCAGAACAGAGGACATTGATCGATGTGAACACCTCTCAGCTGTTCTCTGGTTTTTGGTTCATGACTCACTGTGAATACTGCATTGTCTTTTTCTTTAGGGAATCCATAGGTACTACATTCAGAACAGGACTTTTTTTTTACCTTTTTTTTTTTTTTTTTTTTATTTCTAGGAGAGAGAGAGAGACAGCGTGAGCAGGGGAGGGTCAGAGAGAGAGGGAGACACAGACTGTGAAACAGGCTCCAGGCTCTGAGCTGGCAGTCAGCACAGAGCCCGACGCGGGGCTCGAACCCACAAACCGCGAGATCATGACCTAAGCGAAAGTCGAACGCTTAACCGACTAAGCCACCCAGGCGCCCCCAGGACTTTTTTTTTAAAGAGTTAGTTTACTAGCACACCACTTAACGAAAGTAGTCAGTCTTGCTGTTAGTAACTGAGCCAAGTTCACCTGTGTCCTTGACAAGTTCAGTTGTCCTGGTCCAAGTGCTTTAGTCCAGACATTTTCTCCTCCTGCAGTTAATATCTTTTATCGTCCCTAAAACCTCCAGTCCTAGACAGAGTTATCAAAGGCTCAAATTCTACAAAGGACCACCTGCTATAGAGTTGGTTCAGATTTTCCAGTTAGAGGATCTAAGTGTTGGCTTTACACAACAGGGTCGTGTCTCCCTCTAATGGATGGTAAAGAATAAGACAAGTAAGATTTCTACTGTTGAAGCAGAAGGCTTTGTGTAACTTATCTATATTACATGTTGAAACAATATATAATAACTTATTCAGCTGATTTCCAAGAGCAGCACAAAAATGTCCTTTTGTTTTCATTCATTCAATATTTATCATTTGCTTAACTATGTGCCAGATATTAAGGTATAAAGCTATGAATTACATAATACAACGGCAAAAATGAGAAAATTTACTATGTACTGAGATTTTTTAAAATGCCAAGATTCCCCATCTCCCCTCATCTCCCTCCCACCTCCCCACATCTCTATCTACCCCAGCTTCCCAGTGCTTTGTGGTTCATCTGCCCTGTTGCATTGGAGACACAGGGCTTCTCTGCTGCTTTCCCCAAATAAAATCTCTTGAATAAGCAACACCCAAAGATAGAGAATGATTCAAACCTTAAAATAAAGTTTTCTCTTAAATAATATAAAAACAGGGAGGGGGATAAAAACATAAGAGACTCTTAAATATGGAGAACAAACAGGGTTACTGGAGGTGTTGTGGGGGGGATGGGCTAAATGGGTCAGGGCCATTAAGGAATCTACTCCTGAAATCATTGTTGCACCATATGCTAACTAACTTGGATGTAAATTAAATTTAAAAAATAAATAAAATACTTTTAAAAAGACAATCTGCTATTCTGTAATAAAAAATAAAGTTTTTAAAAAGTTTGTTTTGAAAGAGAGAGAGAGGGAGAGAGGTGAGTGGGGGAGGGTCAGAAAGAGGGTGAGAGAGAGAATCCCAAGCAGGCTCCCTGCTGTCAGCGCAAAGCCCCATGACAGGACTGGGGAGAGGGGGTGTCTATCTCACCAACCGAACCATAAGATCATGACCTGAACTGAGATCAAGAGTTGGACGCTTAACCGACTGAGCCACCCAAGTGCCCCTTAAATAAAGTTCTGAGCGTGGAATTCCAGGCATCCTCCAGCACTGAGATCTGGGTAGGCACCAGTCTGTTTGCTGGTTGTTGAGCACAGCATGGTCTTCACGGATGCCTCTTCTGTCACACGAGGGGGCTCCTCACCTGTTTTGATTCTCTGGTGGGAAGGGAAAGTGTGTAAACTGATTGCCAAAGATTCTGTTCACCCTGTGCCCAGTTTTCCACAAGAGAGAGGAAAGGAAGGAGAGGAAATTAGCTCGGGCCGGTTCACCCTCAGGGGACTTTCCATCGCACACTAGCAGAGCGAGACCTGAGAGAGTCCCTCCTGCAGGCGTTAATACTTCCTCAGGGAAGCGGACACATGAAGGCTGACATGTTACCCACTTAAAGTTTTACACATAATAAGCCAACAGATTGTTAAACAAAAGGTTTTATTGTGCAAATATATTTTGCAAACATACCTTTGAACTGATAAAAATTGAGAAGTGTATATAAAGCTATGGTTTGCTAGGACTGAAAGTTGGCGAAATATCAAAGATGACTGAATTTAATTATTATCAGGCATGTCTGGCGTCTGTTGATAGGACAACGCTGTTTGGATGAATAATCACATTTGAATGAGCACTAACATGAAAAGATATGGAACTCACAATTACTCCCTAAAAGTTATTGTTTTAGTCCATTCAGGCTGCTTTAACAAAATACTACAGTCTCGGTGATTTATAAACAACAGAAATTTATTCTCACAGTTTTGGAGGCTGGAAATCCAAGATCAGGGTACCAGCATGGTTGGGTTCCGGTGAAAGCCCTTTTTTGGATTGCAAACTGCCTACTTGCTGTATGGATGGTGGGAAGGATCTCTCTGACATCTTTATTATAAGGGCACTTGGCCCATGAGGCTCCGCCCACATGAGCCCAAAGGCCCCACCTCCCAATACCCTCACCTTAGGCATTAGGTTTCAATCTATGAACACTGAGGACATGCAACTAATGAGACCATTAGCAGATACATCTCCTGCCTTTGCTTCAGTAGGTCACCAATTATTTTGTTATAATTGAATTTTTATATAATTTATGTTCTATCACCTAAAGAATAAAAAATAAAAAGTAATTGTTTTTCAAATTGTAATTTCATAGTGAAAAAAAGTTTGAATATCTATTTACCTAAAAGAGTAAATTGTAGTATTAAAATGGCAATTTTTTGTTGTCGTTACTCTAAAGATGTACAACTGTCTTCTCATTTTGTGTGTTTTAATGAGAAATCTGCTGTCATTGCTATCTTTATTTCTCTGGGCATGTTTTTTTCTTTTCTAGCTCCTTGTAAGAGTTCTTCTTCATAACTGTGTAGCAATCAGGGTTCAGGCAGAGAATCAGAACCAGTAGGAGATCTATATAAAGAGACTTGTTGCAAGGAATTGGTTTATGTGGTCATGGGGCTGGCTAGACAAGCCTGACAGCCACAGGACAGGTGGTCAAGAGGAGCACTGGAACTCTCAGGCACTGAAGCGCTGTCTACAGGAAGAATTTAGTCTTCTGGGAACAGGCCACTTCTGACCTTTACTTCGGGAAGGCAGTGGGGGCTGTGGGCCACTTCTCTCTCTGATCAGTTGACTTCATTCACTTCCAGCTTCTTTCTGAGGTTTTCAGACCATTCTGGCCTTTTTTCACTCTTGCCAGGATCTGCAAATCTACCTCCATTCTCGTTATATTCTGTGGGGATAAACATGGAAATGGGCAACATTGAGAAATATCCATCAATGTTTAACTGTTTCAGGTGTAACGTGATCCAGTATTTGTTTCAGAACCTTGAACAGAAACTTGACTGGATCTAGGTGCTTGACATTGCTATCCTGAAAGACACTGATGAGAGAATCAGTTTCCTTCATGGAATTCATGGGCTGAGAGAGTCTCTTTCTCTCTTAGGAAGAATTCTGAATGGAAATCTGGACTAGATGGTCCCTGAAGCCTATACATATGCTGCCATAAAGACTGCCATGCGCTCAGTCTCTTCTAAAACCAGAATATTACAGGGGTGCCTGGGTGGCTCAGTAAGTTAAGTGTCTGACTTCCGCTCAGGTCACGATCTCCCGGTTCATGAGTTTGAGCCCTACATCGGGCTCTGTGCTGACAGCATGGAGCCTGGAGCCTGCTTCAGATTCTGTGTCTCCTTCTCTCTCTGACCCTCCCCTGCTCACGCTCTCTCTCTCTGAAATAAATAAAACACTAAGAAAATTTAATAAAACAAAACAGAACGTTATGTAAAATTATGGACCTCTCCCTTATCCCTCCAACCCATAATTCCCTTTGCTTTATTTTGAAGAGAAAATCTAATTTGGAAGCCTCCCTCCATTAATCTCCCCTCACTCTCATTTTGTATCCTTAAAAAGCTCACCTGGTCTATGTCAGCAGCTGTGCCTGGGGACACTGGGAGGCCAGTTGGGGGAGGGGCGGGAGGCCGGGCTCACCCAGAGGCCCGGCAGATCCTCCCGGCTGAGGATCTCTTTGTAGAGCTCCTCTGCTTGCTGGTACTTGTTCTGCCTCAGCTAGGCCGAGGCCTGCAGTGAGGGCAGGGCCTGGGTGATCTGGAGCTCCCCGGCCAGTCCTCCCTCTAGCCTCTAACCTCGTGACCTGGGGCCGGTGACCAGCTCCTGCTCTGCCTTGGGCTAGTGACACAACCTCTTTGTGCCTCGGTTTCCTTGTTTGCAAAATGGGGCAGAAAGAGCCCCTGCCTTCCAGGGCCCTTGAAGTAGTGGGTGGGGCCGGGTAGGTGCGGAAACGGGGGTCTAGAGCTCAATAAATATTGGACTCTGTCCTCTCGGCCCCGCCCCCTCAAAATCCCGGTTCTCCAACTGGATGGTCCAGGCTCCGTAGAAGCATTTAGGAATGCAGACCAGGGACATCACCCTGTGTGACACCATCACTGTCACCTCGCCCTCTCACCATCACATTTGTCATTAGGAAACAAGACCAAATGCATCCTTAGAAGCCTGCTTTCGATAGGGTGGAAAGTTCTGATCATTTTCCAAAGCTACAAAGCAATTTCGATCTTTTTTTTTTTTTTAATCCTTCATGACTAGCATATTGTGCTTAATAAAAGAGAATCAGCCAAGTTAGGAGCACAAAGTTTATCAGAAAGAGACTTCTGGGTTCAGCCCCTTTCTACCTTTACTAGTTTTTCACATTGCCCAAGTGGTTTAAAATTCCTGAGCCTCAGTTTCTTTATTTAAAAAAAACTTGTAGAAACAATACCTAGGTATTTTTTGAGAATTAAATGAGATAATATACCTAAAGCATTTGGCACAGTGTCTCATGTGCAGTCAACGTTCAGTAAACAGTAGCTATTATTGCCAGATTATTTTTTAATTAATATACCACAAAGGTATAAAAGTAGAATTTTTTGGCATATCTAAATTCCCTACAGAATGTAAAGATACCCCATCATTAATATGCATCACTGCTTAAAAGAGTGTGTTATCTAAGCAGATGTTATATAAGCCAACGGTGCTGTAATATAATACTATTTTAACCAGACCTTTATTGTTACAAGCAATAAAGAATCTTAACTCAAGGGGCCTAAACAGAGGGAGATGTACTGTCTCACCAACAAGTCTCAGTGTGGGGCAGCCCCCAATTTCATTCCAAATTCAGAAGCTCAGTACTGTCATCAGATCTGTCCTTTCCATCTTCTGCTCCTCTGTGAGAGGTTCAAGGGTCACATTTGGTCACAGTGTTCAGAAGAGAAGAGGATTACCTCCTTCCTGTGTCGTTTCTGAAAGCAGGGGAAAACCTTCCCAGAAGTTCCTCCAGTGTATTTTCTTGTGTCTCCTTGGCCAAACTGGTTGTGATAGTCACATCTCTAAATTGATCACTGGCTAAGAGAAAGGGCCTTCCGTACCTTGTCCCTGCCAGGATTTCTCTCTTCTCTCAGCACAGGACTGCAAAGAATGAGTGGGACCCAAACAAATATGAGGGTCTAGCAGCAAAATAAATAAATAAATAATTTATTAATAAATAGAAATAATAATAAACACAGAAATGGCTGTTAGGTAAGGAACCAAATGTACTTGAGATATCAGGGCTGCTTAGAATTCCTGTATCTGCATGCAGCATAATAAAGCACAGAGAAACCTCAGTAAGTTTGTATCTAGCCTACAACTGTTAAGGGGAACGCCTGGCTGGCTCAGCTGGAAAAGCATTCAACTCTTGATCTTGGGATTGTGAGTCTGAACCACACATTGGGTGTAGAGATTACTAAAAAATAAACTTTAAAGAAAAAAAGAGCTGTTATGGGAAATCCACTGCAAATCTAAAGAAACAATTTTTTAAGTCAATAAAATGTTCCAAGATGAAAATTAGCATCATGTGCATTGCAATAGTATCTAATGTACAATTATTTCATACACAATTATAAATATCCTTTCTAAAGTAAAATTATTTAAGAGTGCAATTTGCTTTTTTCAAGAGATCCTGGGGAACTTTTAAATATTGCACTTCCACTTGCTTTCACGGCTAAACAAAGCAGTATTACATCTTTCCATCTTGCCTGTCCTTAACAGTCTTATTAGATGCAACCAAAATGGCATATTGATTTCAAATTTTCATTTACAGGGAGTTGAAAATACTTAACAATTCAATCTGTCTGACCTACTCCTACATCCATGTTCCCAGTCATTCTCTGTCAATTACCTAATACACCCTTCCCTGCAAAATGAAGCCATTTTTTTTATTAGATTTTTGCTACAGTTCTCCAACATCATTTCAACTTGCAGCTGTGCTTAGGAGATTGGAGGATACTAAAATTGCAGAGAAAGGATATTGACTTAGGGATTGATTTTAAAATAATTGGGAAGCACTATTGGCTTAGAGGGTATTGAGGGTTACTAAAGGAAATTATATTAAAATGCATTAAGAGGATAACTTAATGTTACTTTATAAAACTCTAACTTAAATTCATATTTGGGCCTCTTGACATTTCAAAACCTAATGTGTGATTCCCAGTAAAATCCCAGAATGATTTCGCTTCACAATGTAAAAGCCTACATTTTCCCCCCTAGCTTTACCCACCATTGCATGAAGATACAATCAATGATGATTAACACTAGAGATGTCAAGAAGTCTCACACCTGTGCTGTGAAATACCTGCTAATCCTTGGTGTAGGACAACGCATTGTTTATGAAAACTGCTTAAAGCAATGTGAACAGAGGGAAAATGATTAACGAAATTAAAACAGGCAGAATAGCCATTTTTTTTTGATAGAAGAAGTGTGTGTGCGAAAACGGTCTCAACCTGTCGCTAAAATGGAAAGGATTTTAAAATGGAAACTCACAGTCTCAGACCATTTATTTCAGATTACTGGGCCGATCAATTTAACTGTGAGAAATAGATTTGACATTCTTGTCAGAAAGAGTTGAAAGCATAATTTAACTATTAAAGTTATTTGAATGCACATTTATTCTCCTTCCTGGCAATATTTCTCTTCTACTTATACAGTTGTCCATGAAATCAAATCCAGGTTTGAAACACCTATAATTATCCCAAGGCAAATCTGTCTGTAAACTGTCTTTGAAGAATTAAACTACCATATTTTATTTGTCAAATAAAATTTTATTGAGGCACCTGGGTGGCTCAGTAGGTTAAGCGTCAGACTTCAGCTCAGGTCATGATCTCACGGTTCATGGGTTCGAGCCCCACATGGGGCTCTGTGCTGACAGCTAGCTCAGAGTCTGGAGCCTGTTTCAGATTCTGTGTTTCCCACTCTCTCTGACCTTCCCCTGTTCATGCTGTCTCTCTCTCTGTCTCAGAAATATATAAAACATTTTAAAAATTTTTAAAAAAACAAACTTTTATTTATAAATATCTACTCACCAATAAAATTAGGGCAAATCTGTTGCTATAATAGAAGTAGTCTGCTCTAAATCAATTGTAAAGTAGTTCCACATATTCAGAAGTTGTATTCATCAAGCATCTCAGGCTACTGAATGTAATTAAGACTTGCCAAAAGGACAACAATGGCCTTATAGTAATGGGCACAAAATGATTTTATCCTGTCAGAAAAATGATCTGAACGCAATTCCTAGCAAGACTAACATCAAACATCAAAAACTGAAGATGGGGATTTGCATTCTAGGAATATAGAATAGACCAACTTTGTCTTATTCCTCCTGCTACGTTAAGTACAATAAAAACCCTGACACTGTATATAAAACAAACTTAAGACTCTGAAAGGTGGAGAGAAGAAAGTAGACCAGCCAGGGATCTGAGCAACAACATGGTGGCCCAGTTGCCTGGATTTTCTTTGATGCCTCAAATATCCCAGACTTGGAACAAACAAAGTCAGCTGGCCAGAAATACAACATCTAAAAAACATAGAAAAGGAATATTACTGTCTTAGTTCATTTGAGCCACTATAACAAAATACCACAGACTGGGTAACAACATAAATGTATTTCTTACAGTTGTGGAGGGTGGGAAGTCCTGGCTGTGCCCTCACATGGTAAAAGGGGCAGTGGAGCCCTCTAGAGCTTCTTTTATCTGGGTACTAACCTCATTCATGAAGACTTTTCCATCACAACCCAATCATCTCCCAAAGACACACCTCCCAATGCCATCCCACTGAGCATTAGAGTTTCAACATATGATTTGAGGAAATATGCAAACATTCAGATGATAGCAATTACAAACAACTCCACACATGTAAACTTGACAACTTGGTTTAGATGGACCAATTCCTTGAAAACAAAAACTACCACAATTCATCTAATATTAACTAGATAAATCTTAGTGTCCCTACAGCTGTTAAAGAGATTAAATTTATAATTAACACTCCTCCCAAATCTACAGGTCCAGATGACTTTACTGGAGAATTCTACCAAACACTTAAAGAAGAGTTAACAACAATTTGACCTAAAATATCTTCCAAAAAACAGAAAAGGAGAGAACATTTCCCAATTCATTTTTTTGGCATTTTTCAATCTTATCTTCCTAAATTTGAGATATAACTGAACATATACCATTGTTTTAGGTGTACAATCCAATGATTTGACTCAATTCATTTTATACCCAGACACCAAAACCAGACAAAGATAATATGGGAAAAAATAATAATAATAACTACAAATATACCTACCTACTTCATGAATATACACAAAAACCCCTCAGAATATTAGCAAATTAAATTCATCAATATATGAAAGAATTATATACATGACCAAGTGGGCTTAATTTCAGGAATTCAAGGCTGGTTCAGCATTCAAAAATCAGCGTTACCTACTATATTACCAGACTAGAAAAGAAAAATCATATGATTACATCAATATATTCAGAAAATGCTTTAGACAAAATTCAACACCCACTCACGATAACAATTTCCAAAAATGGGAATACAAGGGAACTCTTCAACTTGTATAAAAACAATATCAAATATCTACCTCTAATATTATGTTTAATAGTTAGAAATTAAATACTTTTCCTCTGCCATTGGGTAGAGGATGTCTGTGCTCATCATTTTTATTCAAACAGCACTGAAAAACCTAGCCAATGCAACAAGGCAAGAAAAAGAAATAAAATGACTACATATTGAAAAGGAAGAAATAAAACTTTGTGCCCCAAAAAATTTCCAAAAAGAGGTATTTGAGATGGCTCTTGAAAAGAAGATTCATTCATTCAACAACTAACAAATTCACCACAGTGTGGGTCTTGTCATTCATTCATTCATTCATTCATTCCACAATTTTAATAACTAGTAGATATTTATTAAATATCTACTAAATTCCAAACATTGTTCTAGCTGTAAGGATTCAGCAGTGAACAAAATAGATAAAATCTGTCCTTATGGAATTTCTACTTAGCAGAGGGTAAGGATGGGACAGAAAATAAATCAATAAATCACACAATACACATTTGACAGAATAAGTACTACGGGGAAAAGTAGAAAAGGGAAGGGGGAGAATGAGTACAGGAGAGGGAGGGAGGTGCTGCAGTTTCAAAGAGAGAGAGGTCAGAAAAGGCCTCACTGAGAAAGTGACATTTGAGCAAATACTTGAAAGAGCTGATGACTGTGAGCCATGCCAGTATCAGGAGGGAGTGCTCTCCAGCAAATGCAAAGACCTGATGCCTTTGTGACATCACAAAGCTTGTGGCTTGTGAATGGTATCTGGGAGAAACAGTCTGACTAGAATGAGACAGAGAAAGCACTTGGAGATGAGGTCCCAGGAAACAGAAACACTAGTGTGTAAGACTTTGTAGGCCACTCTGAGGCCATTGTGAGGACTGTGGATAAAATTTCCACAGGTCTGAGAACAATCTAGATAGAAGGAAAGGCAAGAACAAAGATGGAGAAACAGGAGTGAGGGGGAACTTTTGAGAAACACAGGAACTCTTTCCAGGATCATAGAGTATCTAGAGGAATACGGGAGATAAATAAGGTTGGGAAACATAATAATAAAGACCTGGACATAACACAGAAGCATGGGAACTTAATTCATGAAGCAATAGGCAGCCATGAGATGCATGAGTGAAAACACTGAAATTGTACTTTACAACAATTAGAACGGTCAGAAAAACAGAGTCTGGCAACTAGTAAATGCAGAGCAAAAACTATAATTTTAAATCCCAGTATTCTGCCTCTCCTAATGGAATAATTCAGGCAAGGATCATCAATGATGAGGAAGTGGAAGGTTGATGGGAAACTGGATAAGCTCACAGTAACGTAATAGTGGTTATAAAACATCACATAAATAACAACCTTAATAACGTGAAAGTATACGTAACAAAAGTTGGGAAGTATTATAGTGGTAAGAGAGCTAAAGGGCAGGTCAAGGAAAATAAGACCTTCATTTCACTAACTCAGAGAACAAGAGACATCATGGATAGTGGAGAGAACAAGAAAAAAGTGTCAGTATATTAAGTCACAAATGATAATTAATGGAGGCAAAATAATATAACTTTACTGAGAAAATGTGGGAAAGGAGGGGAAGGACTAGTGTGTTACCTAGATCTTCTGCCGTAGCTAGAAAGATCATTCCTTAAGTTGATTTCAAATAGGAAAAGGCTCTTTCTTGTGGTAGAGTGCCAGTATATAGAGGTAATGATGGAGTCAGCAAATTCCCATTTTACAACCATCATAATAAAATCTGATTCAGGCAAGAATCATCTACGGATGCTACATACATGGGGTAGGAGCCAAGTTTGATAAGAAACAATATTTAATCAGCACCAAAGTTTCTCTTCATAATGTATGCATTAGTTGCAAAAGGAAAAACAACTGTACACTGGAGGACTAGAAGAATACCTTAAGCAAGTGATCAAAATAAGGGGCAAACAGGTGTGTGGCTGGCTCAGCTGGAAGAGCATGTGACTCTTGATCTCAGTCGAGGTTGTGAGTTCAAGCCCCACACCGGGTTTAAAGTTCACTTTAAAAAAAAAAAAGGTTAAAAAAAATAAAAGGCAAACAGGTATCATGTGTCTCTGGATATGATAACTTGAGAAAGACCACATGTTGTTTTCCTCTCAAAAAATTAATAACCTGGGGGTGACTGGGTGGCTCAGTCAGAAGAACATCTGACTCTTGATTTTTGCTAAGGTCTTGATCTCAGGGTGGTGGGATAGAGCACAGTGTTAGGGTCTGAGCTGAGCATAAAGGCTGCTTAAGATTCTCTTTCTCCTGGGGCGCCTGGGTGGCTCTGTCGGTTAAGTGTCCGACTTCAGCTCAGGTAATGATCTCGTGGCTAGTGGGTTTGAGCCCTGCATCAGGCTCTGTGCTGACAGCTAGCTCAGAGCCTGGAGCCTGCTTCAGATTCTGTGTCTCCCTCTCTCTCTGACCCTCCCCTGCTCATGCTGTCTCTATCTCTCTCTCAAAAATAAATAAAATATTAAAAAAAAAAAAAGATTCTCTTTTTCCCTCTGCTCTTCTCCCCAGCTTGCACAAATTCTCTCTAAAATAGAATTTTGGGGGACACCTGGGTGGCTCAGTCGGTTGGGTGTCTGACTTCAGGGGAGTGCGATGGCTCAGTCTGGTTAAGCACCGACTTCAGCTCAGGTCATGATCTCCCAGTTCCTGGGTTTGGGCCCTGCATTGGGCTCTGTGCTGATTGCTCAGAGCCTGGAACCTGCTTCAGATTCTGTGTCTCCCTGTCTCTCTGCCTTCCTCCTCTTGCACTCTGTCTGTCTCTCAAAAATAAATAAACATTTAAAAAAAAAGAATTTTTTTCATTCATAACCTGAATCTTATCATGAGGAAACAATATCAGACAAATCCGAATGAGAGACATTCTAAAAAATAACTGGCCTTTATTTTTCAGATTTTAGTATCTTTTTTTTTTTATAACATTTATTTATTTTTGAGAGACAGGGAGTGAGCAAAGGAGGGCAGAGAGAGGAAGACACAGAATCCGAAGCAGGCTCCAGACTCTGAGCTGTCAGCGCAGAGCCCCAAATGGGGCTCGAACTCAGGACTGCGAGATCATGACCTGAGCTAAAGTTGGTTCTTAACCGACTGAGCCACCACACTCCCCAAAAGCTTTAGTATCTTTAAAGACAAATGAAAGAAAGAAATTATTATAGATGGAAACTAGATGTGGAAACTAAATGCAATTTGTGATGCTGAATTAGATCTTGTATCAGAAACAAAATAATGCTATAAAACACATTACTGGGACAACCGACAAAATTGGAATATAGAATGTGGAGTCAATATAGAATTTATTGAATCATTTCTGGTCCTGACAAGATGAAATAAACACATGCCACCCTATTCCTCCTGCTAATAATGAAACAAACAAACAAATAAGACTGGATAAAATCCAATTTTAGTATATGTGCTGCCGAAGCCAGCACAAACCTGGATAAAATCCATAAACCAACTGACAGAAGACCTAAAGGTGAAGAAAAGAAGGCAAACTGGCTAGCGACCTCGGACGTTGAGTTCCCTGGGATTTTGTCAGCCTCCAGTATATCCAGGCCTGGCTGGGCACAAGAGAGCTCCCTAATCCCAAAACACCAATGGGCACAGACCAAAAGACTCCAAAAAAAGTCCATTTTCTCTAGCTACGGGACCAGGAAAAACAGCTTCCCAGAATAGCACACTTGAAGGGGCACCTGGGTGGCTCAGTTGGTTAAGCGTCCGACTTCGGCTCAGGTCATGATTTTGTGGTTCATGAGTTCAAGCCTCGTGTTGGGCTCTGTGCCGACAGCTCAGAGCCTGCAGCCTGTTTCAGAATCTGTCTCCCTCTTTCTCTGCCTCTCTCCCACTCATACTCTGTCTCTCTCTCAAAAAATAAACATAAAAAAAAAAAACACAGCACATTTGACCAAACCTACCCCACTCAATGCAAACCTCTCAAAAAGTCTACTCCCCTCTCGCTTCCACTATCTCCCAGCCCTGCCTGACCCTGCGGGATTCCCTAACACTTCATTAGAACCTGGGCTAACCTGCATCCTAGATAAGCAGCTCCACTCTGGGTCAACCAAGCTGAATTTGGAGAGGATCTTTGGGCAAAACTCCAGCTTTTACAGTCTCAGCCCTCTTTTCTATCACCTTTCTCCCATAAGGCAATCAAAGCTCTTTTTGTTTGGGCTAGGCAAATGGCCTCAGGGCAAAGTAGCAAAAAAATGGCTTTCTGCTGGAATGCCTCCCAGATTTTCCCTTCATTTTAAATCTATTCCTTAATCCTTTGTCAACTCTTAGATAGAACAGTAAAACTTTCTTCTTAAAAGCATCAATCTTTCATTATTTAGGTCTTTTCAAGAAAAGAGTTTGTGGAATAATCCAGACTGCCACTACTATAAACAGGAGGTCTACTCTTTAAAAATCTTGTATTGAATTATATCAGATAAAGAAAAGCAAATAAATCATAACCGTACAGTTAGATGGATGTTCACAAGAAATCTATACTCCTATAAATAGGATCTGAAACAATTATCAGTAAAGAGTTCTTCAAAACCTTTTTTTCAATGTTTTATTATTTTTGGGGGGTTTTTTTGTTTCTTTGGTTTTTTTTATTTTTTTAATGTTTTATTTATTTCTGAGAGAGAGAGAGAGAGAGAGACAGTGTGAGCAGGGGAGGGTTAGAGAGAGAGGGAGACACAGAATCTGAATCAGGCTCCACGCTTTGAGTTGTCAGCACAGAGCCCACAAACCGTGGGGCTCAAACCCACGAACCGTGAGATCATGACCTGAGCCAAAGTCAGACGCCTAACTGACTGAGCCACCCAGGCGCCCCTATTTCATTTTTGAGAGACAGAGAGAGATAGCACATGTGCACAAGAGCGAGCAGGGGAGGGGTACACAGAATCCTAAACAGACTCCAGGCTCTGAGTTGTCAGCACAGAGCCTGATTTGGGGCTCAAACCAACAAATTGTGAGATCATGACCTGAGCTGAAATCGGACGCCTAACGGACTGAGCCACCCAGGAGCCCTTCTTCACCACCTTTACTACTTCCTGCAAAGGGAACCATTCTCTTGACTTCTAACACTGTAGTAAAAGTTTTGCCAGTTTTTTAGCTTTATAAATGGAATCATAACATTTTGAGACTTGCTTCTTTTGCCAATTATTTTATTTGCCTTTACATCATATATTCTTTATTATTATAGTTGAAAGACTCATCCATTTGGATATAAAACAATAGTTCATTCATTCTCATCGCTGTACAGCATCCCATTGAATGACTAAGCCACAATTTATCTGTTCTACTGTTGATGGAGAAGAACCACTGAGTCGGTCACAGGGTATGCATAGTTTTGGTTTTAGGAGTACTTCCAAACATATTTTCAAACATACAAATTTAACCTCTTACCAGCAATGTAGGAGAATCCTAGTTCTTTGTTAACCCTTGACCAATTACTTTTAACCACCTGTGAAATCCTGTTAAAAACAAACAAACAAAATAGTACCTTCTGTTTGCATTCTACGCCTTCCAGCACCTCGTGTCCCTTTTTTAAACTCTGGGCTCTGAGTTGGCAAGTTCGGTTTCTGAACTTTTGTCAGGTAAAAATGGGAAATAAGAGGAGAAAAAATTATTAAAGAAATGATACATTTGATTTGGAAAGAAACTAGAAACAAAAGGCAGAAAAAAGAGGAGGGGAAGTTAAAGTCCTGGGCGACATGGATGCTGGCTCTAGAGTTTTTGAAGAAGGTTGAGAGTAGGGTGAAGAAGTGTCAAAGCAACCAGATTAGGCCCAACATAGAGCTAAGACCCATGTCAGTAGAGTGAAATTTAACTCAATTTCATGCTTGGTTCTCCCAGAAAAGGAAGGCCGAGGAACCTAATCAGTGTTCCCTGTTCAACACAAGTCACCTGACGTGCTGCCTCTGAGACTTCCCTTCGCTCCATGTAAGGAAAGTAACCTTGCAATAGCCCATCTGCTTCTACCTAGGAGGACTTCCCTGTGCCTGCTCCCTGATGCCTGTGGAAGTCTTTCATTTCGTACAACAACTTGGAGAGCTTTTCTATCTGCTAGCTTGGATGCTGCCCGATTCATGAACTGCTGAATAAAGCCAGAAGATGAGTAAATTATGGACATTTTTCTTTTAACACAAGGGAAAGGGGTTTTCGAATGTGAGAAATATAGTGAGTAAAAAATGGAAGGTATTATTGTGAATTATGAATATTGGATTTCTTTGTTGCTTGACTGGAATTACTATCAACCATGGTGTCTAAATAGGGTGTCTCTAGATCAGCCAATCCCGTGGAAGCTGGTGGGGCACACGCCTCTGGGAGGTGAAAGAATTCTGGTGAGGCAGAACAGAGAGATAGTTAACTGAATACACAGCAAGGGGGTGGCCGAAGGGACTGCAGAGGAGAGACTCCCATGGGGCACTGGGTGGGGACTGCTTTAAAAGGGGACGATGAGGAGGTATGGTGATGTATGGAATTCTCTCTTTTTTTTTTTGTGGTAACTGTGCCTAGTTAGCCCATTGGTTAGTTAGGACCTATGGGTATTTTGAGGAAGGTCGCTTTATGGGCCTGTCTGTATTCCATTGCTCGAGCCTTGTTTGACTGAAAGCGGCCTCTACATCAACTACTTTTGATTACTGAATTATTCCTTTATAACTGGAACCCCACACACAAATTGAATCACGTGGAGCTTTACTTCACATAAACATAAACCAGAGTTTTACTTTACATAAATCAGCTATGAGGGTTAATTGAAGGTATTTGAACAACACTTCCACTAGCTTCGTTGACAGTATCCCTCCCTGCCCCTCCAACCCCAGGAAACCTGCTCTTATGAATTCTTACCAATCAACTACTCTCTAACTCTTCACTCAATAAAGATTTAGGAACCTTGTTCACACAATTCTCTACCCAATTCATGCTGTAGTCCCAGATTTCAACAGCCACAGTAGATGGCCCATCCAACAGGATAGCTTCGTGAGTAGTGTGTCTGTTTAATTCCAGTGACCTTCACCTATATTCAGTGATGTGTTGTTGAAGACAGTTCATTCCAGCTCCTGAGAGCTTACTGTTCATATCTCTTTCTAGTTCCACACTCGGGAACATGTTGGTTACTTGCAATCACCATGGTGGTGGTATTTCCACAATTAAAATCAACAAATGCTACAAATCGGGGATTTATTTTTTCATTTGTGAGAACCAGTATACCAGTAATGACTGTCTCTATCCCACTTCAAGCTCTCACATGCAGATTCAGAAAGAACCCTGGACTTAGTCAACCCAAGAACTGCTCGACACCAGAAATAGAAAACTAGAAAATTTCATTCTCTAACCACCACCTCAGCTCTCAGCTCCCACAGCCCTCTTCTCCTATACCTTCTCTTCAGTGTCACACTAGACCTTCAGGCTCTACTTGCATATTCTCTCTATACATCACAAAGGCAGAAAGGCTTCCAGTTGACCATGCTGTACTGTTTCCTTTGATTCTTCATTAAGAAGCCCAACAAACGACTCAACATTTATCAATTATCTCCTGGCATAAGACAAGGTTAATAAAAATCGTATTTCTTCAAAAATCAATCAAAAGTTGTTTTTACCTTCATTATGAAATGTTCATGGTATCTTTTCTTCTTTATTTTACTTAATTAAGTAAGCTGTATATGTCCAGCATGGGGCCTGAACTCATGATCTCAAGATCAAAAGCAGCATGCTAGGGGCACCTGGGTGGCTCAGTCAGTCGAGCATCTGACTTCAGCTCAGGTCATGACCTCACAGTTTGTGGGTTTGAGCCCCATATTGGGCTCTGTGATGACAGCTCAGAGCCTGGAGCCTGCTTGGGATTCTGTGTCTTCCTCTCTGCCCCCCCACCACCACCACTTGCGTGTGTGCACGCTCTATCTTTCTCTCTCAATAAATAAACATTTTAAAAGAATTTTTAAAAAAAGAGTAGCATACTCTTCCAAATGAGTCAGCCAAGAGCCCCTCTTTTCTCTGTCTTTTTAAAATTCCTGTAATCTTTTTTTTATCAAAAAGGTAAATCAAACAATCAGGCAACATCATGCAGGAGGCTCTGAGTAACATTTGCAGCAGGAAATTATATCCAAATACATGTCCTTATAATTTGAAAATGATATGTATATTTGCAGGAATGAATGGAGGAGGGATAGTGTATTGCTTTCCTATCACTGCTGCAACAAATTATCACAAACTCAGACGCTTAAATCAATATAAATCTATTATGTTACACTTATGGAGGTTAGAGTTCCTATACAAGTCTACCAAACTAAAATCAAGGTGTTGACAGAGATTCATTCCCTCCAGAAGTTCTAGGGGAGCATTAATTTTCTTGCCTTTCCCAGCTTCTACAGGCTGTGATGGGATCTTCTTCTCTTCATATTTATATAGAGGGTGAATCTGTTCATATCTGCCAACAGATCCCAAATGGTTTCTGCCTTTTGTCTTTCAGATGCACCCTGTACCAATAGACGATTGATCAATTAACTTTCAAATGTCACTTAATAAAAAGAAACATAATAAAAGAGTAACAAAAAGAGGGGCGCCTGGGTGGCTTAGTCGGTTAAGCGTCCAACTTTCGCTTAGGTCATGATCTCGTGGTTCGTGGGTTCCAGCCCCGCGTCGGGCTCTGTGCTGACTGCCAGCTCAGAGCCTGGAGCCTGTTTTGGAGTCTGTGACTCCCTCTCTCTTTGACCCTTCCCTGCTCACGCTGTCTCTCTCTCTCTCTCTCTCCTAGAAATAAATAAAACATTTAAAAAAATTTAAAAAAAAAGAATTCACACATTAAAAAAAAAAAGAATAACAAAAAGAAATATATACTTGGAGAGAGAGAGAAACAATGGATTTCTAATGAAAATAGCTCTTCAGTCATACAAATATTCCTTTGAGGAATGTCATTTCAGAAACCATCCCCTCAAGATTGGGTAGAAACCTCTACTTAAATACAGTAAGACCTTCAATTACAGTAACTTGTTCTTTGAGTGTTCCTCAAGACAAGCAAACATTTCTCATAAATTTTAACTTGGTTAACAAGCGATGTCTTGCAATACGAGTAGTACATGATGCTGAACATCACATGATCACAACTGAGCCGATGATTTTCTCTCTTTCTTACTGTGGGATTGTGGGTGATCGTCTCCCATGCTCAGATGTTTGGTCTCAGGCCACAGTGTTTGGCAGAAATCAGCGATTTTTCAGAAGGTTGGAAGGTGTCCACAAGTGACGCTAGTGTATTTTTTGTCACTTCAAAGCACCTATGGACAGTCTGTGGCTTTTCCATACAAGAGGAAGCTTAGGAATGCTTTGCTTCATTCTAGGTGACACTGCCTGCAGATATAGACCCTTTCCTCTGTTGCCTTATTGCCAGTTACATTAAATACAGTATACGACAAGAGCTTATTATTATTATCTGAGCCAACAGATAGCAGTGATTCTGTTAGAGATAGTGAAAGACATCCTACACAATAATGTTCCTCTCTCGTCTCCCTCACCCCAGCCACAAAGATTTTCAAAGGTAAAAAGAGGTTAATTTTCCTTATATTTTTAATTTTCTTTATTATTTTATATTATATTACCGTATTGTAATCATTTTTATATGAATCCTTTTGGGTTGTGGAATGAATCATCAGAGTTTCCATTATTTCTTATGGGGAAATTTGCTTTGATATACAAGTGCTTTGGATTACAAGCATGTTTTTGGAATTACTTATGCTTGCAAACCAAGGTTTTACTGTACTAATATAATACTGTGATGGTCAAAAGCATCATCCATTTACACATGGACTAAAGCACTTCTACCACAACAATTCCCAAAAGGGGATTCATTAATTAGATTTGAGGAAGGAGAAAGGAATTGAAAATAACTATACTGCAATAAAAAATGACATTTGTCAAAACTTGCTTTGTCATCATATATATAAATAGCTTAGATACACGGCTAATTATGTTCACAAGTTGCTTTGAATACCAGTTGCAAGGGAATGGTAACATCTCCCTATTCTAAAGCTAGTTTACAGTTTCAGACCTAATTCCATATTTTCTGCTTCATGTCCTAGAAGCACAGCCACCAGGATTGATGACCTTGAAGTCCAGTCAAAATAAGTAACCCAGCTGAAGCACAGACAGAAAAAATTTTTTTAATTACATTCAAGACATGTGGTACACACTCAAAAGATCTAACATGTCTGTAATTGGAGTCTCATAATAAGAGAAACAACAGGGTTGAAGAAACGGTGACTAAAAAGTTGCCAAACCTGATGACAGACATCAACCTACAGATTCAATTCACTCTGTAAATCTTAAGCATGATAAAGATAACAAAATCATACCAAAGCACATCATAGTCAGAGTGTTTACAATTAAAGACAGAGAAAAACTTAGAAGCAACCATGGGGCGGTGGGGTTAAGACACACTACCTTCAAAGATACAACAAGACTGAGAGCTGACTTTTAACTAAAGCAATCAGAAAGTGGATGACATCTTCAATGTGCTGGGGGGGGGGGGGAACCCCTGTTATCCTAGAGTTTTACACCCAATGAAAATGCCATTCAAAAATTAAGATTAAATAAACAAGTTTTCAGGAAAAACAAAACTGAAGGGAACTACTGCTGTAAGAACTACACTATAAGAATTACTACACGAAATTCTTCAGGTTGATGGAAAATTAGCCCATTTTAGAAACACAGAATAGGAGGAAGGAATAAAGAATACCAGAATTGGTGAATGTGTAGAGAAACAGAAATAAGTACTAGCAGTTAATAATGACAATAATAATAATGTCTTGTGGGATTTACTGCATTTGGAAAAGTACATGATAATAGTACAGTGGGTATAAGGTAGTTTAAAATGGAGTTAAAGTATGATAAATTTCTTAATTTGGGGCAGAAATTAGAAAATTATTAACTTAAAGTAAGTTATCATAAGTCAAATACATATGCATTTTTTAACCTCTATGTCAAGGACAATCACTAAAGATAACACAAGTGTATAATTAAAATATAAAAGAAAAATACAATAAAATTAAAATATTCAACTTAAAGAAAGAGATAAAGGAAAACATTAGGAAACTGTATTAGTTAGGGTTCTCCAGAGAAACAGAATGAATAGAATGTGTGTACATATGTAGAAAGAGATTTTGTTTTAAGAAATTGGTTCATGCAATTATGAAGCCTGGCAAATCTAAAATCTACAGGGTAGGCCAGCAGGCTGGAGACCCAGAGAAAGCCAATGTCACAACTGCAGTCTGAAGACAATCTGCTGGCGGAATTCCTTCTTAGGTGAGGTCAAGTTTTGTTTTGAATAGACCTTCAACTGATTGAATGAGGCCACCCACATAATGGAGGGCATTCTGCTTTATTAAAAGTCCACCACTTTAAATGTTAATCTCATCCAAAAACACTCTCACAGAAACATCTAAAATAATATTTGACCAAATATCTGGGCATTGTGGCCCAGCCAAGCTTACCCATAAATTAACCATCATATGAACAAAGAATAGAGGGGGGAAATAGACAATAAACAGCAACATAGTAGACTGAAATCCAACTTCATCAGAATTTACTTTAAACATCAATAGTCTAAACATTCCAATTTAAAAGCAGATTATAAGATTGGATTAAAAAACACAAAGTTCAACTATATGCTGTTTATATAATAGATAAGCTTTAAAATTTTTTTAATGTTTTATTTATTTTTAAGAGAGAGAGAGACAGTGTGATCAGGGGAGGGGCAGAGGGAGAAGGATACACAGAATCTGAAGCAGGCTCCAGGCCCAGAGCTTCAGCACAGAACCCGATGCAGGGCTCAAACACACGAAACCATGAGATCATGACCTGAGCTGGAGTCGGATGCTTAACTGACTGAGCCACCCAGGAATCCCTTAAAATGTTTTTTAACGTTTATTCATTTTTGAGTGATAGAGACAGAACCTGAGTGGGGGAGGAGCAGAGAGTGAGGGAGACACAGAATCCAATGCAGGCTCCAGGCTCCAAGCTATCGGCACAGAGCTGGATGTGGGGCTTAAACTCATGAACCAATGAGATCATGACCTGAGCTGAAGTTGGACGATTAACAGACTAAGCCATCCAGTCGCCTCATAAAATAGATATGCTTTAAATATAACAACACAGAATGGTTGAAGAAAAAATGGGGGAAAAAATTGCCATGCAAACACCAACTGAAAGAAATGTGGTTTCGCTATGTTAATACCAGACACAGTATCTCCCTCTCTCTGCCCTTCCCCTGCTCATGCTGTCTCTTTCTCAAAAATATATAAAACATCAAAAGAAAACATTTTTTTTAAAAATCAAAGTAGATGTGAGTCAAGAAGTATCACATGAAATAAAGGTGAGATTTCATGATAAAAAGGAGTAATTCAACAGAAAAGTAAAAATCTTAAATTTGAGTACAAACTTTCACCAACTAAAAAGTAAATGCTGACAGGGGCGCCTGGGTGGCTTAGTCGGTTAAGCGTCCAACTTTCGCTTAGGTCATGATCTCGCGGTTCGTGGGTTCGAGCCCCGTGTCGGGCTCTGTGCTGACTGCCAGCTCAGAGCCTGGAGCCTGTTTCAGTCAGTGACTCCCTCTCTCTCTGACCCTTCCCTGCTCACGCTATCTCTCTCTCTCTCTCCTAGAAATAAATAAAAAACATTAAAAATTAAAAAAAAAAAGTAAATGCTGACAGAACTATACATGGAATTTAACACTCTTTTCTCAGTAACTTACAGAACAAGTAGAAAGTCCTAAGTCTAAAAATCTCAGTCAACATAGCCCTTGTTGCAAGGAGAGGACCGGTAAAGGAGCTGGGAATCTGACATGGCCTAAGAATCTTGGTACAGAATCTTCTCCAGAGTCCACTACAAAGGACCTGCTTACAGTCCTTCTCTCCTCCTGTGACCTTGCTGTCAAGCCATCACCTGGAGATGCAGGCATCTGAAGGCTTGACTGGGGATGACCAAAACTGTTGGAGGCCTGAGTTCCTCACTGACTACTGGGAGCAGGCCTCAGTTTCTTGCTGCAGAGGACTCTCCAAAGCACTGCTTGCTATGTTCTCATGACAGGGCAGCTGGTCTGCCCAAATGAATGATACAAGAGAAGGAGCTAGGAGGAAGTCATGGTGTCGTTTAGGACCTATTAACATCCCTCCACTTCTGCCATATTCCACTTAATGAAAGCTAGTCACTCAGTCTAGCCCACACTCAAGAGTAGGGAAATTTGCCACCATCCCTTCATTGAAAGAAACAGTTTGAAAGAATTTGTGGTCTAATTTGCTGCTCTCTGTTCAGGTTTTTTTCCCTAAAACAATGTTTCTAAAAGTTATATACCCCAGCACTGGGGATAGAAAGATAAACAAGAAAGGCAAAAATCTTATAGAACTTACTTTCTACTATGACAAGACAATAAATGAGTATAAAAACTAATAATTTTAGATAGTGATAAGTGCTACAGATAGAAAAGGGTAACAGTATCAGGGAAGGTAAATGAGGGAGTAATTTTTGACAGTGTGATTAGACAGGCCTCCTAAGGTATATTAACATAAATGAGATCATATACATTCTATTAGATAAACCAACTTTATCATTCAATACGGCTATTTGTCTTATCAGCTAGGGCTGCCATACAAAATACCACAGATTGGGGGTGCTTAAACAACATTTATTTCTCATAGTTCTGGAGGCTAGGAACTCCATCAAGGTACCAGTCGATTCAGTTCTGGCGAGCACTTACTTACTTCATGGCTTTAGTGTCCTCACATGGCAGAAGAGATGAGAGTTGGGTCTCTCTTCCTCTTAAGAACACTAATCCCATCATGGGAGTCCCACCTGTGAGACCTCATCTAAACCTAATCACCTCCCAAAGGTCCTACCTCCAAATACCATCACACTTAGGGTTAGGTCTTCAATATTTGAATTCTAGAGGGACAAATTTCAGGCTGTAGAAGTTATCTTTCATATCTATACACTAATAGTTTTCCTTTCTTTATGTGTTTATTTAAAAAAATTTTATTTCTTTATTTTGAGAGAGAGAGAGCAAGTGGAGTAGGGGTAGAGAGAAGGGGGAGAGAGAATCCCAAGCAGGCCCCGCACTGTCAGTGCAGAGCCCAAAGTGGGGCTTGAACTCACAAACCGCGAGATCATGACCTGAGCCGAAATCAGGAGTTGGATGCTTAAATCAACTGAGCCACCCACATGCCCCTCTATACATTAATATCTTTCCTTTAAAACTACATCCATCTTGATGAAAATTTGTTTTTTTCCCAATTGTAAAGAATACTATGATAAACACTCGTGTGTGTGTGTGTTTGTGTGTGTGTGTGTATAATATATCTATCTTTGCGTGCATGGGTAAATATTTCTGTAGGATAAGTGCCTACAAGTGAAACTACTTGGTCAAAGCACACATTTAAGTGTTTGATAACATCACTCCAGAAAGCTTGTAAAAATATACACCTTCGCAAAAAGGGGTAAACACTTTCTGTAGTGGCTGTCAGTATAAACATTTATATCAAAAGACTTTATATACAGTTGACTACCAAAGGGAGGTAGGGTGGGGAAACGACCCTTGGCACAGCTGAAAGTCCACATGACTTTTTAAAATAAATTGACTCCCAATGTTGACCAGAAGCCTTACTGATAACATAAACAGTTGATTAAACATATTTTGTATATGTGTTATACACTGTATCTTTACAACAAAGCTAGAGAAAAGAAAATGTTAAGGAAATCACAAGGAAGAGAAAATACACTTATAGTGCTGTACGATAGTTATTTCAAAAAATCCACATGGACCCATGCAGTGCAAACCCATGTTATTTAACTGGATATTTATTCTCTTAAAGTTAGTTGGGTCATTCTCACTCTTTTACCTGGTCAATTTGTTAACATTTAACATTGTCCATTACCCCCTCTTCCACAAATCACTTTCTTCACTTATCTCCTCAGGCTATACACTCTCCTGAGTATCCTTGTAACATACTACATTCCCCTTTTCAATCTTTATTCCTGGTCCCCCCTCATCTCCTTGAATTTGGCCATTCCCAAGGTCAAATGACACGCAACCTCATGGATTTGGATTTAAATACCGCATCTCCAATGGGATGTCTAAGAGGCATCCAAAAGCATCTAAAGCTGCATTCATAATCTTAACTCGAAAACCTCACCCTTCCAGTGCTACCTTATTTCAACTTTGTAAACTGCAACTCCATGTTTCCAGTTGTTCAAGCCAAATCCTTTTTTTCTTACATCCCAACTTCCTCTCTTCTTTGAGATTTCTGCTCAAGACAGATCCTGTCTCCCACTGCTGTTCCCTATACTCCTGGTTTGCCTCTTTTTTTTTAAATGCCATGTCTCAATATCTAAAATTACGGTGTTTCTTTAATTGATCATAGTCTCCTCTGCCAGAATATTAGCGGGAGGGTAGGAATTTAGCTGGTTCGCTGTGGTATCTTTGGCATCTAGAGCAGTTTTATGTTGCTGTTGGCATAGTGGTCACCCAATAGTTATTTCCTCAATAAATGAGTGAATGTACAGGTCATACATACAGAGATATAATTGAAAAGCAGGCTGATGGAGTGGCAAAGGCAATAAATGGAAAGATAAGGCACTGAGGATTGGGCCTTAGCCTAAGCACCCCTAAGATGTTTAGGCAACTTATCCTTCAAAGTTGATTTTCTTCACCTGTAAAATGGGGTTTATGCCATATTCCTCAGCAAATGAGACAGTTGATACAGTATTTCTTTGGATTGCAATACACAAGTTTCACTACCCGCAACACCTGGGAAAATATGCTTGAAGTCTCCTCTTAATTTCATCTACTCAGGTATAACACGATTTGAGCGTACATCTTCAGAGTCAGTACACTGTACCTTTAAAAGTCCACTTGTGCGAACTTTGAGAATAAAGGCAATTGCTAGGGAAAAAATCGCCAGTCTCTAATTCCACTATGGTAACAGCTACAAAACTATGTATATATGTTAACGATCATTAATTGCACACTTAAAACGGGTGAATTTTATGCGATGTAAACTACATCCCAATAAAACCGTTAATGAAGAAAAACCCCAAAATAATGAATCAAGTTCAGTAAGTAAGCTCTGCCATCGATTAGACATGGTTTACGAAAGAAACCCCGGTATTTGAGGTTTCTTTGCTGAGCAACCTATCTTCAGCACTGTACTGGGATAACTGAGCTGAAAGCAGTAAGAACCTAGCCGGGTTCCTCCAGCAACGAAAGCATCGTACCCCAAAGCTCGCGGTTACCAGTCCTCACGAGATGCCTCCCTCCTGGCCTGTTCCGCAACCAAAACCCCATCTCACTTCTGCAGAGTGGACGTCTGCGGGGAGGCAGTGTCCTCACCCCCAGACACACACACACACACACACACACACACACACACACACACGTGGGTCACTTGGAGTCTAGTTCAAGTAACGTCCGTCCTTCCCCAACCCCAGATCTGCGCGGGGGAGCTGACGACCCTTCCGGCACAGACCGACCCCGAGGTTCCCCCGGGCACTGGGGGCCACGCGGCGCTCCAGCTCAGGGTGGCTTCACACAGCGCGCAGGCCTTGACCTTGGCCGAGCAAGTGTCACCTGAGTTTTTAAAATGGTCCCGGGGTCTGCCCTGACGCTCCGACTGGGGAGCGTGGGCGCCACCAGAGCCTGCCCGCGCGGGAACTCCGCCAGAACTCCCCCGGGGGAAGCACCGCGCGCACAGCCGCGAATGCCCGGCCGCCAGCGGCCGCTCCCGCGCGCGCCAAACTCTTCTCCCGCGAGACCGCCCCTCGGTTGGGCTGGGCTGGAATCGCGAGGCCCGCCCCCTCCTCAGCGAGTTTCCCGCCCCACACGGAGGCGCGAACCGAAACGGCTCCTCCACCCTCCAATCATATCTGCCAACGAGTCCCCACCAAGGTCGTCTGCGTCTTTTTTGCCCACTTCCGCCTTCAGCGACGCTCGTCTACCGCCCCAAGTACGAGCGTCCGCGGTCCCCGCCCCGCACAGCGGCGCAGGCGCAGTAGTGCGGGTCCTCTGAACGGTAGCTCAGGACGGGCCGGGCTGCCGCGCGCAGCCGGGGAAACGATCCCCCACCGGCAGTTTCGCTGCATCCACTGTAGATCTTGAATGGGACTCCTGCCCAGGCACGTGGTTTCCGTAGCAGCAGCTGCACTTGACGCTAGCATGTGTCCCGCAGGCGAACGTTCAGAGTAGGGTGTTGAATGGTCCCTTTTTGCGGAAGGAGACACTGTAGTTAGCCTCGTGGGAAGATGTTGATCTCCCAACCTTTCACGCCGGAAAATGGCACTTTTCATTTGAGGGAACGGTCCCCAACAGAAAACCTGGCTATTCCTACTGGCTCCTGTCTTGGAGTCAACAACCTCCATTAATCTTACCTGAAAAATGTACCTGCTAGGGTAGTTGTATGATAGGGAAAAGACAGGATAAAATAGGCAGAGACGGAAAGGTCAGGACCTGAGGTCCCAGGGTGGGGAAAAAATGGAAGTTTGGAGCAATGCTGGGAGTATCTGACCTCAGCAAACTCCCTCGGGCATAAGGTTCCTCTTGAGAATGTAACAGACACCACCTACTACCCCTCAGGATTCCCTCAGGAATTAGATAAAAAACCTAACTAAAGAGACTTAACTAAAAATTAGTAGACCATAAAACATACGACGGGCAAGGAATGGTACGGCCATAGACATACAATGGATATGAGCCAATCAGGAATGGACAACCCAGCGCCTAGAGCTATCAAGCCCATAAGGGTAGAACCTGAGAAGGAAGGGGGGGGCGCTAGGGAAGGAGGGGGCTGACCAGAACCTTACAAAACAAAGGTCCTTGCCTATAGTCTGGGGGCGCTCACTTTGGAATGCTCCCTCTGTGTAGAGAGAGCTTTCGCACTATTCTTCCTTTCAGATCTTATACTCTAATAAACTTTTCTCTGTTGCTCACTTTGCGTCCACCTCTTCATTTTTCAAAGCAGCGAGACAACGAATCCTGCGTTTTGAAGTAAAAAAAATCCTGCAGCAATTGGGACTGCCTGAAACCCCAGAGTCACAAGTCAGAAATGCAGGCCACATTTCCTAATTTTGAGGTTAATTTTAAATTTTTTCGTTCAACCCAAGACTTGACCAAGGGTTACAAGGCTGGTTAATAGCAGATATTCAGTAAGAACTTTATCCTTCCAGGCCACTGCTTTCCTCACTGTTAGAGTTTTACTGCATGCTAAGTGGAGCTCCATAAATTTACCATTTCTTCTCAAACTCGTGCTGTCCTCCATTTGTCACAACCGCAGTCTTAGACCTAGAGTCACTTTCTAGTTTGGCCCCTAAGAAAATTCATCATTCCAGTTGACCTCTCCCTGTCCCACAAACGAAGGAGATCGGATTGCTTGACTAGTGGATCTGGTTGTCACTGTTAACTCTACTTTTGGTCATTTGGGCAGTTTCTAGTTTGGGGCAATTACGAACAATGCTGCCATGAATAATTTTGTAAATGTCTTTTAGTGTGAAGGTAGGTATATATGTAGGAGTAGAATTGCCCGTTTATAAGGCATACATGTATTCAATCTGGGTAGATAAACTATAGTAGGCATTATCATGGCTGCCCCAAAATGCCTATGTCCTGATCCCTGGAACCTGTGAGTATTTTAGGCTACCTGGCAAAAGGGAATTAAGGTGCTAATCAGCTGAATTTAAAAGAATTAGTCTGGATTGTCCAGGTGTGTCCAGTGTAATCACAAAAGTACTTAAAAAGGGGAGGAGGAGAAGAGGAGGAGGAGAACAGGAGACCTGGTAGTGTGAGGAAGACTGGAGGGCCTGATGCCCCTGGTTTTGAAGGTGGAGGAAGGTAGCAATAAGCCAAGAGCTGGGTGTCTTCTAGAACTTGGGGAAGGCAAGGAAATGGATTTCCGCTCCTCCAGAAGTGACATGCAGCCCTGTTAACACCTGATGAGACTTCCAGAAAGGTAGTCCAATAAAGACTGTTCCAGCCACAAAGTTTGGACGATTTGTTACAGCAACAACAGGAAACAAATACATTGTCACAACTGCTTCCCAAAGCACTTAAGGTGCTCTGAAAACATATCCGGGCTTCAGCCCTACACCTCACTAACTGAACTGGAATCTCAGGATAGTCCTGGGTGTGGAGTGGGAGGGGGGATTAAGTTCATTAGATAATTCTGATACATCTCGAAAGTTGAGAACTGCTTATCTGAACGACTTATCTAAACCCAGTTCTCATCATTGAAGAATGTGGTAGTGATTTGACCACAGGACTGAAAGCAGTTCTCATAAAGACAGTTCCAGATACTAGAAGTCCCTCTCCCTTTTCTTTTCTGCTCAAGAATTAGCATAGCTAAAAAAAAAAAAAAAAAGGAATTAGCAAAGCTAGGGGCCACAGGGGCCCAATGAGTCCACCAAGGGGAAGCCTTTTAAGCTCCCAGGGACTTTTTAATTTTTAAAAATTTTTAATGTTTAGTTTTGAGAGAGAAACACAGTGTGATTGGGGAGGAGCAGAGAAAGAAGGAGACACAGAATCTGAAGCAGGCTCCAGGCTCTGAGCTTTCAGCACAGAACCTGACGTGGGGCCTGAACCCATGAGCCGTGAGATCATAACCTGAGCCAATCAGATGCTTAACCGACTGAGCCACCCAGGTGCCCCCTAGGAATTTCAGACGTCGAAAAAAGTTGCCTGTGCACAAGAACTGATATCACCGAGTTCATTAGGATCTGTTGTGACTGGACATTTTTTGTTAACTAATAGAATTAGAAGATCATGTGATGTTGGAGTAGGACTCACCTTCATGCCTTTAGGATGCTGGTTCCATTGTAGTTATAATTATGTAAAGCTAAGAATCCAGGAAAGAATTGCCAGAGAAGGAATTAAAAATATGATTTTACATGAAAGTACCCACCATTTTCCTGAAATAAAAACCAGTGACAACAGCAGCAAGTAAGCAGTCTTAAGCCCAGAAAGCCCACATGCAACTCACTGAAGTCAGTGTGAACAAAGCTGAGGTCAACTAGGAGCACGTGGCTGGCTCAGTTGGTTGAGCATCCAACTTCAGCTCAAGATATGACCTCATGGTTTGTGAGTGTGAGTTCAAGCCCCACATCAGACTCACTGTCAGCCCAGAATCTGCTTCGGACCCTCTATACCCCTCTCTCTCTGCCCCTTATCCACTTATGCTCTCTCTCTCAAAAATAAATAATAAACCTTAAAAAAAAAAAAGCTGAGGCCAACTATATTAAACATCATATGTACCATAGGCTTTCAATCAAGTACAGTACATGTAAAGTAAACAAAAAAAAGATTAGGGGCACCTGGGTGGTTCAGTTGGTTAAGTGCCTGACTTCCTTTCAGGTAATGATCTCACAGTTTATGAGTTCAAGCCCCAAGCTGGGCTGTGGGCTGAGTGCTCAGAGTCTGGAGCCTGCTTCAGATTCTCTCTCCCTCTCTCTCTGCCTGCCCCCCCCCCACTCTCTCTCTCTCAAAAATAAATGAACATTAAAATTTAATTAATTAATATAGCTAACCTTTTACACTGCTCCATGGCTGAACAATCAGTTCCTACTGACACAATTCATAAAGAAGCATTAAGACTAAGAGCTCTTTGGGGCGCCTGGGTGGCTTAGTCGGTTAAGCATCCGACTTTCGCTTAGGTCATGATCTCGCGGTTCGTGGGTTCAGGCCCCGCGTCGGGCTCTGTGCTGACTGCCAGCTCAGAGCCTGGAGCCAATTTCGGAGTCTGTATCTCCCTCTCTCTCTGACCCTCCCCTGCTCACGCTGTCTCTCTCTCTCTCTCTCTCTCCTAGAAATAAATAAAACATTAAAAAAAAAAGACTAAGAGCTCTTTGTATTTATAGATCTTTCTTTAATGCTGCATGAAGTGGCTCCTCCAAATACTGCCACACCTTGGCACCTTTACTTTCATGGAAAGCTTGACTCTAGGAACTGGTAGTATTTGCAATTCCCCAGAAAAGGGGAGCTCTGGACAGCAGGGGGCAGCCTGTGACAGCCTGCCTGGCTCCTGAGGTAGTGCAGTCCTCCCAGCCCCGCATGCTGAGGCTGCAGCAGGTGGCTGCCCTTGGGCCATGGCCCTGGGGAATCCTGAACAAGAAGGTGGTTGTTCTAGCTTCACCAGGTTGGGCTGCAGGTGGAAGCTCTGGACAGGGTGTCCCTGCCTTTCCTGTTTTGCCAGGGCCAAGGGGCAGAGAGAGAGACGGAGACACAGAATCTGAAGCAGGCTCCAGGCTCTGAGCTGTCAGCACAGAGCCTGACAAGGGGCTCAAACTCAAGAACCATGAGATCATGACCTGAGCCAAAGTCGGGTGCTCAACTGACTGAGCCACCCAGGCAGCCCTTAATTACTTTTTTACCACTAAATGCTTCATATCTGATTTTCACACTCACAGTAAGTCAAAAATAGACAGACAGATTCAAAGTATAGAACACAACTGTACCTGGATATGCAAGGGGGTGTACCCAGTAAATTGTTCACTCTAGAAACAGGCTGTTAACCCCAAATATATATATTACCACTAAGAACACAAGCTCTGATTAATGTTCTGTTTAAAATACAATAATAGGGGTGCCTGGGTGGCTTAGTCGGTTAAGCGTCCGACTTTCGCTTAGGTCATGATCTCGCCATTCGTGGGTTCGAGCCCCGCGTCGGGCTCTGTGCTGCCAGCTCAGAGCCTGGAGCCTGTTCCAGAGTCTGTGACTCCCTCTCTCTCTGACCCTCCCCTGCTTACGCTGTCTCTCGCTCTCTCTCCTAGAAATAAATAAAACATTAAAAAAAATTTAAAGTACAATAATAAATATAATTAGATATTGTATATTGCAAGTAACAATCTAGACGAGACCATAAATAAATGTATAGAACAAGGCAATGACAAAAGTTAAATGCCAAATATCAAAGAAGAGAATTTTTCAAGTGAAAAATTCCCAATGCATTTTATTCATAACGTAACCACATTCAAGATGCTGGAGGAGATGTCCATATCTACGGCAGCAATGAAAAGACAGAACTTTTTTATTCATTATCCTGTCCAGTCTCAGAGTGAGAAATGATCTTTGATTTGTCAGATGCTTCATAATCTTGTATAATAAGCCTTAGGTGATTGATGATTTCCTTGTCTGCAGTTCTCATGTTAAATCCCAACATCTTCATAATAATTTCTCGAAAATCAGTAAGCTACAATAAACCACCAAAAACGTCAAGACATATTATCAGTTTGGGTCACCAAATATTACATACAATGAAACTGGTATCAGAAATATAGTCTCATATTAAACATTTCTCTATGAAATGTAACATTCTACATTCAAATTGTATTTTTAAGATAGAAAAATAGCCTCTTTTGGGGTGACTGGGTGGCTCAGTGAGTTACGTGTTCGACTTTGGCACCCCATGATCTTACTCTGGCACAGATCATGATCTCACAGTTTGAGTTCAAGCCCCACATGGGGCTCTTCACTCTCAGCACAGAGTCCACTATGGATCCTCTGTCTCCCTCTCTCTCTGCTCCTCCTCTACTCTCTCTCTCAAAAATAAATAAAAACATGAAAGAAAGAAAGAAAGAAAGAAAGAAAGGTCTCTTCTTTACAAAAACTCTTTTTTTTAAATGTCCTTTTCATTTTAAAATTTTGATTTTGATTTTTCAGTAGTCTTCACGCCCAGCACAGAGCCCAACATGAGCCTTGAATTCATGACCCTGAGGTCAAGAGTTGGGTGCTTAACTGACTGAGCCACCCAGGCACTCCTAAGATTTTATTTTTACACTTCATAGACTAAACCTAATTTTATTGCTGCTTTTCATCCCTAAGGTAATTCCTTTATGGATTTCAGACTTGTTGTATGGTAATACTAGTCCCCTAAACCCATCTCTCTCCACCCCTCCTCCCTGATAAGGAAAGCAGCTCTAACCACCCATAAATCACGAGCCCAGGCTGGGGGACGCAGCTGGCTTCCAGGGGCGGCCCAGAAATAGGCCAATGCGCAAATGAGGAAATACTGAGAAGTCTAAGACCTGGTGGGTCAGAACACTGGCAAGTGAGAGGGAAAAGAAAGGGTCCTGAAACACATTAACTGAAAATGGCAGTTGTGAAGGACAAGGTTTCTGAGGGGAGAGAGAGATACCTGGAAAGGTAAGGTGCTCCTTGGAGGTTTAGAGATAAAGGAAAAGAAAAAAGCAAACAATGGAAAGGGAGTGATTTCTATAAACAAGATTGTACTGCAAAATCAGACATCACATAAACCCCCACTTTTAGTGGAAACTGCACTTACTGTACCAACACAAGAGGGTAGCATTGAGTTAGGAAACCAAGTGAGTAAACCCTGCCCTGTAACCTACCTAAAGTAGAAACCCCTGAATTGAGAGGGCAGGACAATTAAAAGGATTTTAAAGTGAAGTGATAAATGGCAAATAACATCCATTCGAATTTCTTTTCTTATTAAAATTTTTTTAATATTTATTTATTTTCGAGAGAGAAGAGAGAGAGAGAGATAGGGCACAAGTAGGGTAGGGATAGAGAGAGAGGGAAACAGAATCCAAAGCAGGCTCCAGGCTCCAAGCTGTCAGCACAGGGCCCAACGTGGGGCTCAAATCCATGAACTGTGAGATCATGACCTGGGCCGAAGTCGGATGCTTAATCGACTGAGCCACCAAGGCGCTCCCATCCAAATTTCTTTAAGAAGAAAATAGCCTCATCCAAATTAGTCAGGTGATGAAAATAGTCCCCACAGAGAACTGCCATGAAGCAAAAGAAACATGTCTGACACAATACCCTATATGGGTACCAAACAAGGATTTGCAGACATGGGGGGGGGGGGGGCGTCGGTGCTGGGAACACCTTTATTGTGAATCAAATAGTATTCAGAATACAAATGGACAAAAAAAGATATCCGAGATGCCTCATAGGTAAGGAAGATGTGATGGCTAAACTCAGGCAAGAACAAGGAAAGTCATTTCAGAGATAAAGGAGTAAGCTACAGAGCACCCGAAGTAGAAGAAATCTGACTGAAAATATAATAAGGAATATTGAAAAGAATAAAAACAAGAGTATAAATAAGCAGAAGCTTAAAAAGAGAAAGAAACAAAATAATGTCATGATTTTATGTTTTAAGAATTCCTGGGGCGCCTGGGTGGCTCAGTAGGTTAAACGTCCAACTTCGGCTCAGGTCATGATCTCATGGGTCATGGGCTCAAGCCCCATGTCAGGCTCTGTGATGACAGCTAGCTCAGAGACTGGATCCCCCTTCGGATTCTGTATCCCCCTCTCTCTCTGACCCTCCCCTGCTCATGCTGCCTCTCTCTGTCTCCCTCTCTCTCTCTCTCTCTCTCTCTCAGAAGTAAATAAAAAATTTAAAAAAAAAAGAATTTCTTAGGTAATCTGCTAAAGTTACACATTTCTTAAGCAACTAGTAATGGACATGTGGCCTATAATTCCACCATAGCCCCAGTTATTATCAGTTAGCCTTTAAAAAATTCTCCTAAATCATCTGCTCTGTAAATGCAGTGGAAATCTAAGCAAATTTAGAAGCACTACCCTCTTTTCCTAGAAAGTGACTCAGCCCCAGACACAAGGGTTCCCCTGAACTTCCAATCTCTCACATCTTCTTCCTCCTTGTCACTGGTTTATCAGAGGATGCGTATGCAAACCTAACCTAAGGTAATCATATATCCCGTCCTTTGCCACCGAGGATTTACCAGGAATAAGCATTTGATCTAAGCTTTAAAACACTTTCTTGGGATTCTCTCTCATGTCACAGAATCTCTACATATGAAACAAGCTGACGTACACAGCGATGCCAAGCAGAGATGGTGAGAAGAGCTGTGTGAGGCTCCAGGTGCTGATCTTGGTGCCCTCTCAGAGGTCTGGCTGTTTAACTCACCTTTGATTCCATAAGCCAACAACTTCCTTTTGGTTTGGCTTAGATAGAGTCGAAGTTGAGATAGGTGTTGATCACTTCGACTCAAAGAATCTTACTGTACCAATAAATAACACAAACCTCTTGTGGTCCCGATACTTTATCAAGCGTTCTCTTTGCTGTGCCGAGCTCCAGAGTGACAGCATCTAACATCTGATGGGCTTTCTCTTTCTCTCCTCTGGCCTCTTTCTTGGCAGAGTCTGCTGCAGTTTTCAAGTTGTCTGTTTTCACACCTGCCTTTCCTTGTGTTGCTTCAACTTTCGTTAAAGATTGCCTGAGCTTTTCAATTGTTTTGTCCTGTAAGGATATAAGGGTGAGGGAAGGGAGATGGCTGTGGTTAGATCTTTTCTAAATAATAGACCAGGTGCATGGTATAACCCATGCTTCTTATCCTTCTTCTTCTTCTTCTTTTCTTTTTTTTTTTTTTTTTTGACCTGGTATATGGAGAAGAAAGAAAATTCCATAATTTATGAGTTAAGAGGACATTTCTCAACCATCAAACTCATCAATAGCCAACAGTCACTGAGCACCTTTTTAGGCACTTGGGACTTAAAGAGGTTTAAAGAGTATTCCATGTCCTCAAAAGTCTTAACAGCCTCTGCTAACCAAATTCAGAAATACAGAAAATAACTGGCTTCGCGGTAAGATAAATATTATAATAAAATGGCAGAAACCACATTGATTCATAAGTATTTAGCGCACCTTTGGTTTAAGGCATAAAATGTATGCTTGAAATACTACAAGTGAAGCTTGGTATGGAGAAGATCCAAAGAGGAGCCCCCAAAATGAATAAAACTTTTAACTGTTACCCCAGTAAGAAAGACCAAAACAAAACTAAAAAAGCAAGGGCTCTAGAATCCTAACATTTAGATCATCAGTTACTTTCAAGAAGTACGGAAGAGAATACAGTATGGCTTCGTGGAGTTGATAATGCTCTCGTTTTTAAGATAAGTGGTAGATTTGCATGCAACTAATTTTATTATCCAATATGTTTTAATATTATATATACCCTTATGCATGTACATAAAATAGCTTTAATGTTATTTTTTTTACTTCAATGAGAAACATGCAGCTAAAATAGTAACAAGACCAGGGGAGCCTAGGTGGCTCAGTCGGTTAACCATCTGACTTCAGCTCAGGCCATGATCTCATGGTTTGTGGGTTTGAGCCATGTCAGGATCCGTGCTGACAGCCAGCTCAGAGCCTGGAGGCTGTTTCCGATTCTGTGTCTCCCTCTCTCTCTGACCCTCCCCTGTTCACACTCTCTGTCTCTCTCTCTCTCTCACAAATAAATAAAACATTAAAAATTTTTTTTAAAAAAATCAAATAAAATAGTAACAAGACCAAAGCTTAAGTGAATATTTGAAAGCTTACTTCCTTGACTTACCTTCAGGACATTTACTCTTGTCAGTTGAGTTTTCATACTTTTATTTGACAATTTCAAATCACTCAGCTGTTTCTGAAGTTTCTGAATTTTCTCCTCTAATCTTTGAGTAGTAGCAATCTGCAAATTCTGCTGAATATTCAATAGTGTTTGTTGCTCATTGTCTTTCTCGAGCTGTTTGGCCATCTTGCCATGTGCTGCTATCCATGAATTCTTAGTCCCAGAGTTTTCCTTTGCAGAAATCAACAGTATTGAAATAAAAGTTGTGCTTCTGGGTGGTATTCCACACTAGCATACCAGATCTACTCTAGGCTAATAAACTACAGACAGTAATACTTACATAAGTAAATATTTTTTCACCAGAAATATGCATTATCAAAATAATCTGGAAAACTGAGTATGACAATAATACGGACGGCTCAGTGCTGAGAAGGGCACAGTTACGTAGACAACTTCATAAACATCAGATCGTAACAGATTAGGTCAACTTTTTAAGGAATGTATTATAAGGAAATATTTAATAAAGATTCAAACACAAACATATTCTTTACATGACTTATAACATGAAAAAGTAGAAACAGTGCAAATACCAAAAAAAGTACATATTATTGATTACACATTCCCTAGAAGTCAAGCTTCAAAAATATTTACTAAGAGAAAATACTAATGATACAACTAAATGAAGGAAGGAGGATTAAGAAAAACTATCCCTATTAATTATGTTAACATATGTGTGGAAAAATATTCTTCTTAAGTATTTATTTGTTTATTTTGAGAGAGACAGACAGAACATGAGTAGGGGAGGGGCATAGAGGGAGGGAAAGAGAGAATCCCAAGCAGGTTCCATGCTGTCAGCTCAGAGCCAGATATGGAGCTCGATCTCACAAATTGCAAGATCATGACCTGAGCTGAAATCAAGAGCCAGATGCTTAATTGACTGAGCCACTTGGATGCCGCTCTATGGAAAAATATTAGAAAGAATTACACCTATTTAATAACACTGGTTATCTTACAGTGATAGGATTACTGGTGATTTTAATTATATTCTTTCTAATAATCTGCACTTTATAAAGTTGCTACCAGAAAAAAAGAAATGATGCAAATTTAATAAAAATATCATATATTTTCACTATATATAAATCAAAAGCTAATACAATTTGAATTTAAAAAAAAAAAAAAACTACACTGTCTTTTATGCCCCAAGCAAGCCTGGTTAAAGAGAAAAGAGAGAAAGTAAAAATACATAACATTAGGAAAGAGAAATACACAGAATGCATAGATATAGAAAATATGAAAATAATTCTAAAAGAATATTTTAAAATTCAGTGGCAGTAAATAGAAAATCTAAAAGAAATACATTATTTTATAGAAAACAATAATATGCAATCATGATCAAAAAACTCTAGTAAAGTGTTGCCTAGACCTGGGTGGTCAGTAAAGTATCTGACTCTTGGTTTTGGCTCAGGTCATGGTCTCACGGATCATGGGTTTGAGCCCTTCGTCAGTCTCCATGTTTAGACTGCAGAGCCTGTTTGGAATTCTCTCCCTCTCCCTCTCCCTGTTTCCCTTCAAATAAATAAATGAATAATATAATAAAATAAATAAATAAATTATACTTGGAGAATTAACATACTTTTTCAGAATCAAGGATAAAAAATTCAAAGATACTGACAATTAAAACCATATGAATAATATGTTTGAGCATTAGCTATCTATGGAACTTTATACCCAGCAAACAGAGAACACATTTTTTAAGAAAATTTTTAATCTTTATTTATTTTTGAGAAGAGGAGAGAGACAGAATGCAAGTAGGAGAGGAACAAATAGAGGGAGACACAGAATCCAAAGCAGGCTCCAGGCTCTGCACTGTCAGCACAGAGCCCAACGCAGGGCTTGAACTCACGAAACATGTGTTCCCGACCCGAGCTAAAGTCAGATGCTTAACCGACTGAGCCACTTGGGTGCCCCAAGAACACATTCTTTATAAGCACACATGGAATAGCTACCAAAATCAACAAGGTATTAAGCCATGTAAGAAGTCTCAATAAATTCTCTAGGATCATATACTTCCAACATATTGTAATAAAATACAAAATTTTTAAATGCCTTACATCTGGAAACCTAAAAATGTATTACTATGTTTAAAATGAAAAGTAAGGAAAACAGTATATGTCAATATTTGTGGAACAAAGCTAAAGTACCTCTTGACAGAAAAATAGTTTAAATAAGTGCATTCATCAGGATATTTGAAAGGTTAAACATAAACCAGGTACTCTTATTCTTTCTCTTCTTATTCTTCCTTTCCTTTCTTTTCCTCTCTGTACAATACAGTCCTCATGCCAGCAGATGGGCAGAACAAGGTAGGTGCCAGAATGAGAAGAGAAAAGCTGTGACCCAAGCAGGAAGACAAAAGGGGACACAGAGGAGGTGCCCTGCAGAGTGGCTCAGAGCCTGACCAGTGTGAGAGGAGAGCCCGGGTGGAGAGGTGACCTGCGATGGAGTGTAAGAGGCTGAACAAGATGAGGAAGACGTGCACACGGTTTTGGAAATTAACAAGAATCAATAGGAACCCAAATAAGAAAATGGGTAAAGGAAACAACTAGGCAAAGACTAAAAAAACAAAAGACTAAAAAAAATAAATGTTCCAACTCACTAATTAGAGAAATGCAAATTAAATTAGCAATCACTTTATACCCGCCAAAATGGGAAAAATTAGGAAGCTGGTTAATGCCAAGAAATGACAAGAATGTGGAGATTCAAGAACATTCATGTATCTCTGGTGGAACTATCATTCTGTGAAAGCCAACTGGCAGTACTTAATCAGATTAAGCATACATCTACCCAATGAACCACTAATTCCAATCTTGAGCAGACACCCGTATGAAATTCTCTCACAGGTCCTTAAGGGGACTTGTACAAGGATGCTGATGGGCAGTGTTTGTGGTGGCAGAAAGACAGAGGTAACCAGGGTACTCTTCACTGAGGAATGGACCGGCAAATCATGGCAGATATGCACACCATAGAACTCCATGCAGTAGACAAAAGCAATGAACTAGATGAGCAAATAGCAATACTATGTGGATCTTTTTTTCTAAAATTTTTTTTACATTTATTTATTTTTGAGAGGCAGAGACAGAGCACAAGTAGGGGAGAGGCAGAGAGAGAGAGGACACAGAATCCGAAACAGACTCCAGGCTCCAAGCTGTCAGCACAGAGCCCAATGCCAGGCTCCGACTCACAAACGGTGAGATCATGACCTGAGCCGAAGTCAGATATTTAACTGACTGAGCCACCCAGGTGCCCCTATGTGGATCTTAAAAATACAATGCTGACGGCACCTGGGTGGTTTAGTCGTTTAAGCGTCCACTCTTGATTTGAGCTCAGGTCATGATCTCACGGTTTGTGAGATCAAGCCCTGGGTCGGGCTCTGTATTGAGGTTGGGATTCTCTCTCTTGGGATTCTCTCACTCTCTGTCCATCTCCCTGCCCCTTCCCCACATGTGTTTTTTTTTTCTCTCTCTCTCAAAATAAATTTTTTTTTTTTCTAGGAGAGAGAGACAGCGTGAGCAGGGGAGGGTCAGAGAGAGAGGGAGTCACAGACTGAAACAGGCTCCAGGCTCCGAGCTGGCAGTCAGCACAGAGCCCGACGCGGGGCTCGAACCCACAAACCGCGAGATCATGACCTAAGCGAAAGTCGGAAAGTCGGACGCTTAACCGACTAAGCCACCCAGGCGCCCCTCAAAATAAATATTTTTTAAAAATCTGTAATGCTGAGTAATAGAATGAGATTTTACCACAGTACTATTTATCCAAATTAAAATATATGTATAAAATTATACTTAAAAGAACATATACAGTGGGGCGCCCGGGTGGCGTAGTTGGTTAAGCGTCCGACTTTCGTTCGGGTCATGATCTCGCAGTTCGTGGGTTCGAGCCCCGCGTCGGGCTCTGTGCTGACTGCCAGCTCAGAGCCTGGAGCCTGTTTCAGTCTGTGACTCCCTCTCTCTCTGACCCTCCCCTGCTCACGCTGTCTCTCTCTCTCTCTCCTAGAAATAAATAAAACATTTAAAAAAAGAAAAAAAAAAGAACATATACAGTTGCCCCTTAAACAACATGGGTTTGAACTGTGAGTCCACTTATATGCAAATTTTTTATAAACATGGTACAATACTGTCAATGTATTCTCTCTTATGATTTTTCTTAACATTTTCTTTTCTCTGGCTTACGTTATTGTAAGAATACTGTGTATATATAAATAAAGCATACACAATATGTGTTAATTGACTATGTTATCAGCAAGGCTTCTGGTCAACGGTAGGCTGTTAGTTTTGGGGTAGTCAAAAATTACACATGGGGCTTTTAACCTACATGGGGAGGGTGTCAGCACCCCTAGCCCCCACATTGTATAAACAAAAAGATATACATTAAACACATTAGATTGTCTCCTTTGGAAGAGGGAATGGGAAAGTAGACCTAAAAGGAATAAATAAGAGAAAGCCCTTCCATGGCCCAAGGTAATATGTTATGAACCACAGAGTTTGATTAACTCATCCTTCTGCATATGAGATGCAAACTGTGAGGAGTAGGGAAGCAAAGGAATACAAGAAGCCAGCATTAAAACAAAACAACAATGTGCTCAGCCTTACTAGTAATCAGGTAAATATTAAAACTACTATTTTAACCCAGCTCTCTCTCTCTAAAAGAATGACATCATCCAGTGCTGGTGAGGCTGTGAAGAACAAGCATGCACTCAGTCATTTCTATTTGGAAAGTGAAACTTCCAAAAGTTTTTTGGAAGGTGGTATCTTGGCAGTGGTGATTACAATTTTAAATACTCATACACTGTGATCCTCCAATTGTATACCTAGAACTCAATCACATAGGGGGAGAAAGCACCAATATGGAAAGATATATGTATAAATATACTTATTGCTTCATTATTTGTAGTGGCACAAAAAGTGGAAATAATTTGAGAGTCCATCAGTAGGAAACTTATCAAATAAATACGTTACATATATTCTGCGGAATACTATGCAGCTATTAATGGAATGAGTTAAATCCATTCTTTCAACCTAAGGAAAAACCATGAGGTACTTACTTTTTGTGATGGAAGAAGAGTATTTAACTAGCATAGTCTCAGTTTTTTTTAAGTTTATTTATTTTGAGAGAGGCAAGTTGCACTGTCAGTGCAGAGCCCGATAAAGGGCTTGAACCCACAAATCGTGAGATCGTGACCTGAGTTGAAACCAAGAACTGGACACTTAACCAACTGAGCCACTCAGGTGTTCCCGCAGAGTCCCAGTTTTACAAAAAGTACATACATGTACTTCATGATATCCATAACCATGGCAATAGTTGTAGAAGATATATACACTACTGGTTACTGGGGTAAAATAGGCTGAAAGAAGGCTGGAAGAAATTATTGTTTTCTTCCAAACTTTTCACTTAGTTTCAAGAGTTATAAAAAGCATGTGTTAACTGAATATTCCTAAATTTTAATGTAGCATTTTAGGGGCACCTGGGTGGGTCAGTCAGTTGAATGTCTGACTCCCGATTTTGGCTCAGATGGTTCATGGGTTCCAGCCCCACATCGGGCTCTGTGCTGGCAGTGTGGAACCTACTTGGGATTCTCTCTCTGTCCCTCCTCCTCGCTTCTCAAAATAAATAAATAAACTTAAAAAAGTAAAATTTAATATAGCTTTTTAAAATGTTTGCAAGAAAGTGAATAATCATTGATTACATATTTAGGAACAGAGGTAGAAGCCAGATTTATGCTTAGACTCTATGGAGTATGCAGCGATAGCACTTCACTTAGCACTAGAAGTTTTCTAAACTCAGCGCTTAATGCATACATGATGGATGAGTAAATGAGTAAGTGGTGAGTGAGCCGGTGAGTGAGTGAGATTATGTTTGAGCCAGAGCAGTTATAGGAATAGTTTATCATAGGTATGATATGACAAATGGTTCTACTAAGAAATAACGATAGAGAATTTAAAAATCTCCTGAAAATAAATGATATTGTCCTACCTGTTTCCATCCCACTCTTAGAACTGACTCTTTCCCTATAGGTGTAGAGAAGCAGAGAGTAGGGAAGGACCTTGTCTACACGGTCACTACTGCGGAACAGCCTCGCGGGCCCATCCTGACACTCCTGTCTGGCTGCCACAGTGCCTGATGCTCCACCTGTACAGTCATTCCTTTAAGTTCCTTCCTTTCCTTCAAATTCGCTTTTTAAAGCACATTAACAAATACATTAACAAATGCCCTCACTATAAATACCAAATGTGTGCATCTTAGAGAAATGAGAGATATGGAATGAGGAGAGGACTTTTTTTTAGTGTTTATTTATTTTTGAGATAGAGAGAGAGGGAGTGAGCAAGAGAAGGGCAGAGAGAAAGAGGGAGACACAGAATTTGAAATAGGTTCTGGGCTCCGAGCTGTCAGCACAGAGCCCAACACAGGGCTTGAACCCACGAAACATAAGATCATGACCTGAGCTAACGTCCCATGTTTAACCAACTGAGCCACTCAGGCGCCCCAGAATACCACTATTTTATAGCTATCATTCATTGAACTTTTACTGAATTGTAAGCATTTATAAAGTGAGCATTTATCATGTATTAATCCATTTAATCCTTACACTCTGTGAGATAGGAACTTTGCCCTCCAAGCCCCGACCCCACCCTACTCCACCAAATTTTACAATGAAACCAAGGTACAGAGAGGATAAGTAATCCACCCAAGAGCACATAGCTGGCAATGGCTGAGCAGGGATTCATACTAGGGCTCTCTGCTCTTCACAAATACACTATACTACCTCTGCTCTAATAATGGACATCCTCCTCCCTTTTATACTATAGTACTAAAAATGAAATCAAGGGGCACCTGGGTGGCTCAGTTGGTTAAGCACCCGACTTTGGCTTAGGTCATGAACTCACGGTTCATGGGTTCAAGCCCCGTGTCGGGCTCTATGCTGACAGCTCAGAGATTGAAGCTTGCTTCAGATTCTATGTCTCCCTCTCTCTGCCCCAACCTGACTCATGCTCTGTCTCTCTCTGTCTCTCAAAAATACATAAACATTTAAAAAAAAGAAAAGAAAATAGATTAATTTATAAAAAAATAAATAAATGAAATCAAAATTAAAATTCAGAGCCATGAATTTACTAAATTGGCTAATATAAAAAAATCCACATGTTAAAAGAAATAAATGTTACAGAACGGCTTGTCTATCAATACACTTACAGACTTCCAAGACTGCTCATTTGCACCAATTTCCTGAATCCTCTCTTTCACAGCTTCCTCTGTGGCTAGTGTGGGCACAATATTGTTGCTCAGAAGAGTAGCCAACTGACTGATGAATGTCTGATTTTGAGATGGTGCAGTTTTTGTTTCCCAGCCAGATGAATATGAAGGTCTGCCCAACTCATGTTTTTGTTTTTCCTTAGGGATTGAATCTTGCTGACATTCATCCCAAATTTTCTGGCCATCTTTTGGTCCTTCAGAGTGAAAAATGTTGTCTCTCTCCAAGTTCTTGGTCAGGATAGCTTCACCTTTATCCTAAATATGCCAACACACGTTAAATTCCCCATTTGGAATTTAATATGGAGATATTTACTTCCTTTTTTTGAAATATAAATATAGTCATAATACAAGACTTCAGGAGAAAGGTCCTCCAAAGAAATAAAGAGTTATGGAGTCATAAGAGAGACGAGGGCATACTCAAAAGAGCAAACTGGAATATCAAGAGGTATTAAAATGACTGTATGGAGAAATTGTTTTGAGAACACAGGAAATTTAGCTTAGAGAAGTAGCTAACCAAATAGTCTCAGTTTATGAAGTTAAACTCTTTGTAGAAAATTCTGAGCTAATAAATGTAGAAAGAATGATAGAAATTTAAAAATTAGATACAAAAATGAAATTTTGTATCTAATGAACTAACTGATTCAGCCAAGGACTGTCAATGAATGCTAAGACAATTAAGTGAAAAATTGGGAGGGAAATGGATATTTCCATAAAGACTTCATTATGGTTATAAAACATCACTTAGTAATAAGAATTTTGACTATGTAAATGTATAAATGAAAGAAGTCACACCTCTTCTCCCAACCTTTCCCTTGTGTTCCTAAAATCCTCCTTCCATTATAAATAGGCAGGGCTAAAACAGACAAACAAACAAGCAAAAAGTGATGCTTGTACTTCTTCCCGTAGGAAGATTCTACCTTTATAAATTCTAGCCTTCTTTTCACCTTCTTGATACCTTCAACTCTGGAAGCTGAGTAAAGAGGTTCTATTTCTGGGCTTTTTCTCAGGGGAAACTGAGAAATAGAAAAGGAGCTAGAATTGTTGAGGGGCTGACGGGTTTTGCATCACTATAAGCCTAGAAAAGAAGAGGCAGAATAGAAGGGCAATGGAAGAAAAGGTCAGGGCTGCACAGATGCTGGTTTGGGAGAGTCTTTCAGAAGGAATGTGGCAGATTAGTGACAGGTGAAAAAAATGGAGAGCGTTCTTGTGAATTACTTGAATGGGCAATTGAAAATTGGAATTATTTTTGTTAAGTTTATTTATTTTTGAGAGAGAAACAGAGAGAGTGAGTGGGGGAGGAGCAAGGAGAGAGGGAGAGAGAATCCTAGGCAGACTCTGCACTGCCAGCACAGAGCCCCATAAGGGGCTCAAACCCACAAACTGGGAGATCATGACTTGAGCTGAAACCAAGAGTCAGATGCTTAACCAGCCGAGCCACCCAGGTGCCCTGAAAATTGGAATTACTTTAAACTACTTTAAAAGTAGTTACTGGGGCACCTGGGTGGCTCAGTAGGTTAGGTGTCTGGCTTTGGCTCAGGTCATGATCTCCTGGTTTGTGGTTCGAGCCCCTCATCAGGCTCTGTGCTGACAGCTCAGATTCTGTCTCCATCTCTCTCTGTCTCTTCCCCACTCACACTCTGTCTGTCTCTCTCTCTCAAATATAAACAAAACATATAAAAAATTTTCTTAAAAAAGTAGTTGCTGAATATTTCTAAAGGGAACCCCTCACATTAATTGGATTATGATGGACGTTGTTTTACATTCAGATTATATAATAAACTGTTAAAGTCTAAGGGTTTTAAAATAAACTTTGACCATTTCCTTGACAAAAGTCTGCCTCCCATCCTCCAACATTCTATAAAACCTCTACTCATCCTGCGAATTGCTTTCAACTAATGACCAGGCTCGTCTCTTCCTTCTAAACCCAACTCAGGCCATAATTCTAGATTTCAAGGTCAAATGTAGATGATCTGCCAATTTAGCTTTGTGATTCCTATGCCTTGGTTTCAATGACTTTTGCCTACACTGTCCTTCAACACTTACATCCAGAGCCCAAAGCCCAGCCACTGTCAGCAGCAGGAGGTAACACACAGCAGAAATGTAAAACACTTACATTTCATTCTCTTATCACCACCTCTCCTCCCAGTTCTCGCTCAGCTCTATTCCCTTTTACAGTTAGTTCTTCAGTATCACAGAGGCCTTAGATCCACCTTGAGATTTCCCTCGGTACTTCAAAAAGGCTTTTGGTCAACCATACTGCACAGCTTCCTTTGATCCCTGCCCCGCCCCCAGGATCAGAAGCAGACCAACAAACTCCTAAACATTTGTCAATCATCTCTTGGAGTAACACAAGGAAATGCATATCCTGTTTCTTGAAAAATCAATCAATATTGGGGCGCCTGGGTGGCTCAGTCGGTTGAGCGTCTGACTTCAGCTCAGGTCATGATCTCACAGTTCGTGGGTTTGAGCCCCGTGTAGGGCTCTGTGCTGACAGTCGGCTCAGAGCCTGGAGCCTGTTTCAGATTCTGTGTCTCCGTCTCTCTCTGACCCTCCCCTGTTCACACTGTCTCTCTCTCTCTCCCTCTCTCAGAAATAAATAAAACATTAAAAATTAAAAAAAAGAGAAAAATCAATCAATATTTATTCTCACCTTCATTATAAAACTATATAAGGAATCTTCTTGACCTTTCATATTCATATGATGGGTGAATCCATTAGCACCTGCTAACTTTTTCTCCAAAAGGCCTGCTTTCCACTCTGCCTTTTCTCTTTCAAAGAGATGGACTCTGTGTAAAATATGGGTAGGAATAATATCATGAAACCAACTCAATTTTCAACTTTCAATTAAAAATAATTAAAGTTGGGGTGCTTGGGTGGCTCAGTCGATTGAACATCCAGCTTTAGCTCAGGTCATGATCTCACAGTTCATGGGTTCGAGCCCCTTGTCAGGCTCTGTGCTGACAGCTCAGAGCCTGGAGCCTGCTTCAGATTTTGTCTCTCTCCCTCTCTGTCTTGCCCCCACACTCACTCTCTCTCCTCTTGCTCTCTCTCTCTCAAAAATAAACATTAAAAATAAAATTTAAAAAGATAATTAAAGAGAGGAGTGCCTGGGTGGCTCAGTTGGGTGGGCGTCCAACTTTGGCTCAGGTCATGATCTCATGATTCACGATTTCAAGCCCCGCTACATGCTTTATACTGACAGCTCAGAGCCAGAACCTGCTTTGGATTCTGTGTCCCCCCCTCTCTCTCTGTGTCCCTCCCACCTCCTTTCTCAAAAATAAACAAACATCAAAAAAATTAATTAAAGAGAGAACCTGGGTGGCTCAGTTAGTTGAGCATCCAACTCTTGATTTTAGCTCAGGTCATGATTTTGTGGATCATGATTTCAAGTCCCATGTCAGGCTTTGCATTGTCAATGCTTGGGATTCTCTCTTTCTCTCCCTCTCTCTGACCCTCCCCTGCTCTCTCTCTCTCTCAAAATAAATAAACTTAAAAAAAATAAGAATTAAAGAAGTAATCCCCACTTAAAATATATTAAATATATGTATCAAGTTTGAAATGTACTTCCTCTGAAAAGAATTGTACAGTTACCAAACTATTTCTAGGGAGAAACTAGAAATAGCAGAGAAGTGGGGAGGAAAACAATCCAGTGCTAAGTCCTCTAGTCATTCCCCTAGGGAAGGTCAATTTTTAAACCATCCTTTTCATGGGGAAATTTGAGCATGAATATCTGCCTGCCACTGTTGGTAACACTGTGATGACCAGGAGGTTCCACAGGGATACAAGGACTCCTGTTTTAATAATGCCTGATGGCTCTTCTACTGGGATTTGATGAGAGGAAAGGGAATTAGAATAATGATGCAGCAATAGAGAAGAACATACGTAAAAACTTATTTTATTATCAAATATACAAATAGCTAATGATTTGGTTCTTTTTGTTGTTGTTGTTCTTGTTTTGATTACCAATTGCTAGGTATTGGTAATATTTTCTACCTTATACCCATAGCTAGTTTAAGGTTGCAGCTGATCTTCTATATTTTTGTTTGTTGTTGTTTCTGTATTTTTGATCCTCTTCTGTCTAAGAATTATAGCTTACAGAATTAGTGAATTTGAGTCAGGTTAAGAGAAATTATCTGGGGGTGCCTGGGTGGCTCGGTTGGTTAAGCGTTCAATTTCAGCTCAGGTCATGATCTCATGGTTCAAGGGTTCAAGCCCTTTGTTGGGCTCTGTGCTGACAGCTAGCTCAGAGCCTGGAGGCTGCTTTACATTCTGTGTCTCCCTCTCTCTCTGACATTCCCCTGCTCATGCTGTCTCTCTCTCTCTCTCTCTCTCAGAAATAAGTAAAACATTAAAAAAAAAAAAAAAAAAGAAAGAAATTGTCTATATTAACCAAACAGAAAGTTTTAATTCAAAAGATTATATTAGAGGGGCGCCTGGGTAGCTCAGTCAGTTAAGTGTACAACTTGGGCTCAGGTCATGATCTCGTGGTTTGTAGGTTTGAGCCCCGTGCTGGGCTCTGTACTGACAGCTCAGAGCCTGGAGCCTGCTTCAGATTCTGTGTCTCCGTGCTTGCTCTCTCTCTTTCTCTCTCTCTCTCTCAAACACATTAAAAAAAATTTTTAAGATTATATTAGAGATTGCAGGACGCACTCAAAAGGTCTAACCCACCTATAACTGTAGGCCTAGAGTGAGAGTAGAGACAGAATGGGAAAAAACAATATTTGAAAAAATAATTCCCAAGACTCCATACCTGATGAAAGACATCACTGATAGATTCAATAAGTTCTATAAATCCTAAGCAGGATAGATACAAAGAAAGCCATACCAAGACACATCATAGTCAAATTGCTACCAATAAAAAGCACACCTTAAAAAAAAAAGCACACCTTATTACCTCCCAAGGTACAGCAATAAGACTGACAGATGACTTTTCAACAGAAACTATAGAAGTCAGAAGATAATCAGATGACACCTTAGCGTGCTGAAAGAAAAAAATACTGGCAACCCAAAATTTTGTACTCGGTAAAACAAAACAAAACAAAAAATGTCCTTCAAAAAATGAAAATTAAACAATATAATTTTGGGACAAAAAAAATAGAAAATCTGTCAGAAGAAATGTTTTCTGAAAAACACTAGAGGAGGTTCTAGTCCAAGATGGTGACATGAGAAGACCCTGGGCTCACCTCCTCCACGGAAGCACTGGGTCTACCTTTATTTATACAGCAGTTCTGCCTGAGGGGGGCTGAGGGCTGACTGAGCAGCTTCTGCACAACAGAGGATGGGGAGACCACACGGAGAGGTGTGAGAGACAAGAGTAGCCGACACCCCTGCGAGCTCGGGGTCACTGGCCCACACCAGTTCCAGATGCCCTGGGCCTTGCAGGGAAAGCCCAGGGTTGGAAAAGCAACTGGAACATTAAGGAACTGGCCCTGGAATGGTGCCCAGCGGTGAGAGGGCTACTGAAACTCCCTCTGGGTCAGAGACACTGGCAGACGGCATGGTCTGTGCCCCACCCCCCCCCCCGCCACCATGGTGGTGATGCAGATGGGAACAGGGTTCCAAGTGCCGTGGTTGGCCTGCCGTCCCAGTGAGCACCAGGTCCCTGGTCCATAGCAGCCCCAGACACCCTGGGGCATGGAGGAAAAGCCGAGGTTTAAAAGAGCAGCTAGGGTGTAAAGGAGCTACGTCTAGAACCTCGCTGGGCAGTGAGGGAACAGGTGGAGCTTTCTCTGGGCCAGAGGGGCCCGGGAGTACCACGGTTCACCTCCCCCTTCTACCTGGGTGGTGCAGATAGGGCAGGGCCCAGGCTCCATGGCCAGCCTATCATGTCAGCAGGCCCCATGCCCCTGGCCCACACCAGCCTCAGACACCATGGGGCACAGAAAAGCCACAGTTTAAAAGAGGAACTAAGTATAAAACAGCCAGCCCTAGAACTCTGACAGACAGCGGGGGGGCCTGCTAGAACTCTCCAGGTTGAAGGGGCTGGTGAGCACCACAGTTATGTTCCCCATCCACCTTGTTCCCAGAATGTGGATGGGAACAAGGTCCAGGTGCCAGAGCCAGCCTGCCACCTCAGTGAGTCTCAGGGCCCTAGCCCACCAACCCCAGCTGTCACACAAAGACACACACTGGGACACCCCTGGTCCAGCAATCACTATGGTTGCAGCCAGCATGCCAAGGTGACACAGGCACAAAGCACCTTGGAAAACTCCAGGCCCACACCACTTGAGCTCCAGGCAGCTTACTAGGGGACCCCCGAGACAGAGCACCCTGGGACCTCTTAGCTAATGTCTGCTTTGGCTCCAGCTGCCTTGCTAAGGTGCCACCTGCATGGAGCACCCTGGGAACCCCCAGTCCATGCTCACCTCAGCTCCAGCTGCCCTGCCACAACACCTCCTGCATAGAGCACCCTGGGGCCCTACGCCCACACCCCACCTCAGCTCCAGCCACCCGGCCAGGGAGCCTTCTGTATAGAATATCCTGGGACAACCTGGCCCATGCCGGCCTCCATTTAAATCACCCCAACAGGGCACCCTCTGCACTACACACCCCAGGATACCCTCGCTTTCACCTACTTCTGCTTCAGGTGTCCTCCCAGGTGACCCTGCACAGCACATGCCTCACCTCAGTTCCAGACATCCCACTGGGACACTTCCTGCATGAAGTGCCCCTGGCCCCCTGGCCCGTGCCCTACCGTGGCTCTAGCCACCCTGCCAGGGCACCCTCTGCCCGGAGAGCCCCAAGATGTCCTGGTCTGCACCCACTTCAGCGTCAGCAATCCTCCCAGGCACGACTCAGCTTGTGCCTACTTGAGCCTTAGCTGGCCTCCCAGGGCACTCTGCGCGAAGGGCCCCAGGCTCCCCTAGCTCGAGCTCACTTCTGCTCCGGCTGTCCTACTGGGGCGCCTTTCACACAGAGTCCTGGGACCACCCAGGCCCACACTCACTTCCGCTCCAGCCATCCCACCAGGGTACCCGCAGCATGGAGTGCACTGGGACCCCAGCCCATGCCAGACACAGCTCCAGCGAGCCAGCCAAAGGCACCAGCCACACACAGTCTACACAGAAGATGACCATGGACAAGATCATTCCTGCAAGTTTAGGAGAAGTAGCTGTTCCATCTAATTTATAGAAACAAACACAAACAGTCCAGCAAAATGAGAAGACAGAGGAATATGCTCTGAATGAATGAATAAGACAAAACCCCAGAAAAAGAACTAAATGAAATGGAGATAAGCAATATGCCTGATAGAGAGTTTAAAGTAATTATCATAAAGATGCTCACCAGACTGGAAGGAAGAATAGACTCAGTGAGAACTTCAACAAAGAGATAGGAAATATAGAAGAGAACCAATCAGAGTTGAAGAATACAAAAATCAAAATGAAAAATACATTAGAGGGAAATCAACAGTAGATTAGAGGATGCACAAGAATGTACCAGCAATCTGGAAGACGGAGTAACGGAAATCACACTAGCTGAACAGCAAAAAGAAAAAATTATTTACCTTTATTTTTTATTTATTTTTAATTTTTTTAATGTTTTATTTATTTCTGAGACAGAGAGAGACAGCGTGAGCAGGGCAGGGTCAGAGAGAGAGGGAGACACAGAATCCAAAGCAGTCTCCAGGCTCTGAGCTAGCTGTCAGCACAGAGCCCGACATGGGCTTGAACCCATGAACCGTGAGATGATGACCTGAGCCGAAATCGGATGCTTAACTGACTGAGCCACTGAGGCACCCCTATTTATTTTTAAAGAGGATAAGGTGCATGGGTAATTTAGTCAGTTAAGCATCTGACTCTGGATTTTGGCTCAGGTCATGATCTCACAGATCATGAGTTAGAGCCCCATGTCAGGCTCTGTGCTTACAGTGCAGAGCCTGCTTGGGATCCTCTCTCTCCCTCTCTCTCTCTGCCTCTTCTCTGCTCATACACACACACTCTCTCAAAATAAATAAATAAACTTTAGAAAAAAGAGGATAGGTTAAGGGATCTCTTGGACAACATCAAGCAAGCAAACATTCACATTATAGGAGTCTCAGAAGAAGAAAGGTGCAGAAATAATAGCTGAAAAATTCTCAACTGGAGAAAGGTGCTGGGAGCCGCACTGGCCTCACTGGATAAAAGTCACAGCAAGGAAATGGTAGCATTTGCACAGCTCCTGCCATGAGAAACGAAAACTGGTATCTCCTTCTGCTACTACTGACATGTTGGAAATGAGCCTGCTGGTATTGACCAGGCCTCACAATATTCCATATCAAACCGATATTCCCCACACAGATTGCTCATAAGGAAAAGCATATCCCTTCCTTTTCAAAAGAGATTTCAGATGAAAGCATTGTGGATGATTGTCAAAAGGCTTTTCCTATAGGCCTTGCAGATTCAAGACTTACATAATAAAGGGGGCTAAGAACACAAATTACAATTGAGCTTGGCCCTGAGACAAAGAGCCTAATTTAGAGTTAAAGACAGATATCCACTCCCACCCAATTGTTTCTGCTTGGAGCACCAGCCCCCCTCCCAAGGCATTTGTGATCAGTATTTGGAGTGACTTATTCTGGCCTTGAATATGCTGATTGCCCTCTGTGAAGGAGCCTATTGAGGATCTTCTTCTTTTGTGATTATGAAAGCAAACTTGTTTCCTGAAAGATCTGTTTTTCTTAATACTTCTCCTTAAACAAACAAGCTATTGACCCCTGCTCACAAAGAAATAACTTCACCCTTTTTATGCTAAAAACATTGTCTTGTAGGCTAAAGATACCTTCCTTTCCCATAGGATAAGCATCTAAATCACCTACCTCAATCACTATTGATAAAGGCTATGCAGGAGTCTTCTACAAATCTATGTTCTGGGAAATTGTTACATATCAAAGAAGTTTGTCATCAGAAATCATTGTCTAAGGCAAATGCCACTTCTGTGCCATCCCCCAAACACTTAATTATAAAATAAAGTTGAGCCCCAGTCAGAGCAGAGATGCCTGCCTGGTGACCAGAAAGAATCTCGTGGCCTCTCTCATCCCTCCCTCGCTGACACCGTCCATCCTCCAGGGACCCCTGGACCTGCTGAAGCCTGCCTCCGACAGAAAGTAAACAAACATCCAGGTTCCAGAAGCACAGAGAACTCCAAACAAGATGACTCAAGGAGGTTCATATCACCAACACATTTATAAAGATAAAGAGAGATTTTAAAAGTTGCAAGAAAGAAGCAACTAGTTACATACAAGGGAAACCCCATGACGCCATCAGCTGATTCTGCAGCAGAAACTTTGCAGGTCAGAAAAGAGTGGCATACATTCAAAGAGCTGAAAGGATAAAACCTACGACCAAGAATAGACTACCTGTCAAGGTTATCATTCAGAATTGAAGAAGAGATAAAGCATTTCCCAGACAGGGATGCCTGGGTGGCAGTCAGTTAGCATGTGACTCTTGATTTTGGCTCAGGTCATGGTCTCATGGTTTGTGAGCTTGAGCCCCACATCAGGCTCTGAGCTAATAGTCTGCAGCCTGCTTGGGATTCTCTCTCTGTCCCTCTCTTTCTACTCCTCCCTCTCCCCCTCTCGAAATAAATAAACTTAAAAAAAAGTTACTCAGACAAATAATAGTTAATGTTCATCACCACCAAACCAGCTTACAAAAAATGTTAAAGGGGCTTCATTAAATAGGAAAAAAAGGTTATAATTAGAAGTAAGACAATTATGAATATAAAGATACAAAGCATATGACAGCATATACATAAGATGTGGAAGAGAGTAAAAAAGAAGTTCTTTTAGCATAGGTTCAAATGTAAATCAATTTACTATAAACTGCTAAAAACTTTGGGTCCTATACATGAACCTCAAGGTAACTGCAAACCCAAAACCTATGATAAATACACAAAAAATAGAGAAAAAGAATTCAGGCATAACACTATAGAAAGTCATCAATCACAAGGAAAGATAGCATGAAGAGACAATAACTATAAAAATAACCAGAAAACAATTAATAAAATGAAAATAAGTACCTACTTAAAAATAATTACTTTCAACATAAATAGTCTAAGTGCTCCAATCCAAAGACAAAGGGTGACAGAATAGATTAAAAAAATAATAATAATAATAAGAGCTATCTATATGCTGCCTACAAGAGACTCACTTCAGACTTAAAGGCTTCCACAGACTGAAAGTGAAAGGATAGAGAAAGATACACCATGCAAATAGAAATGAGAGGGAAAAAAGCCAGGATAGCAATACTTATAACAGACAAAAATAGACTTTAAAACAAAGATCGTAAGAAAAAACAAAGAAGGGCATTACACAATGATAAAGGGGTCAATCCAACAAGAGTATATAACAACTGTAAATATCTATACACCCAAAATTGGAGCTTAAATACATAAAGTAAATATTAACAGGTATAAAGGGAGAAATTAGCAGTAGTACAATAATAGTAGAGAACTTTAACACCCCACTCACATCAATGGAGATAGATCATCCAGGCAGAAAATCAATAAAGAAAGAGTGTCTTTGAATTACATATTAAACCAGATAGACTGAACAGATATATACAAAACATTCTATCCAAAACAACAGAATACACATTCCTTTCAAGAGCCTATGGAACATTCTCCAGGATAGATCACACATTAGGCCACAAAGCACATCTCAATAAATTTAAGAAGATTGAAAATCATATCATGCATCTTTTCTGACCAGAATGGTATGAAATTAAAAATTAATCATGAGAGAACTAGAAAAAGCACAAATGGAGGCTAAACAACATGCTGTTAAGCAGCCAGTAGGTCAATAAAAACAATCAAAGAGGAAATTAAAAAATACATGGAGAAGACAAATGAAAAACACGATGATCCAAAATTTTGAGGACACAATGAAAGCAGTTATAAGACAGAAATTTACAGCAGTACAGGTCCACCTCAAGAAACAAACAAACAAAAATTTCAAACAATCTAACTTTACACCTGAAGAAACTATAAAAAGGAAAACAAAGTCCAAGTTTAGTAGAAGGAAGGAAATAACAAAGGTTGAAGTAGAAATAAATGAAATAGAGACAAGAAAGAAAGAGAGAAAAGAAAGGATCAGTAAAACCAAGAACTATTTCTTTGAAAAGATAAATACAAAATTGATAAACTTTTAGCCAGACTCATCAAGAAAAAAAGAAAGAAGACAGAAATAAATAAATCAGAAATGAAAGGGAAGAAACAATGGGCACAACCAAAAGAAAAAGGATTATAAGAGACTACTACAAAAAAATTATATGCCAACAAATTGGACAATCTAGAAGAAATGTTTAAATTCCTACAAACATAACAATCTTCCAAACTTGAATCAGGAAGAAATAGAAAATCTGAACAGATTACCAGCAACAAAATTGAATCAGTAATTTAAAAAAAAATCTCTCAACAAACAAAAGTCCAGGACCCGTGAATTCTACTAAACATTTAAAGAAGAGTTAATGCATATTCTCCTCAAACTATTCCAAAAAACAGAAGAGGAAGGAATGCTTCCAAATACATTCTATGAGTCCTGGTACCAAAACCGGACAAAGACACTGTATGAACAGAAAACTATAGGCCAGTATCCCTGATGAACATAGATGCAACAATTTCCCCCCAATAGGAGCAAACTTCATTCAAAAATACATTGAGGGGTACCTGGGTGGCTCAGTTGGTTAAGCATCCAGCTCTTGATTTTGGCTCAGGTCATAATCCTTATTGTAGATCATGAGATGGTGGGATTGAGCCCTGCGTCAGGCTCCACGTTGAGCGTGGAACCTGACTAAGATTCCCTCCCCCACCCCCTCCATTCTCACTCTCTCACTCTGTCTCTCCCTCTCAAAAATAAAATTTTAAAAATACATTGAAACACTTTTTTTTTTTTGCCCTCATTGCGTCTTAGAGAGCAAGATGGGTCACCAGCAGCTCTACTGGAGCCATCCAAGGAAATTCGGCCAGGGTTCTCATTCTTGCTGCATCTGCTCAAACTGGCATGGCCTGATCTGTAAATATGGCCTCAACATGTGCCACCAGTGTTTCCATCAATACATGAAGGATATAGCCTTCATTAAGTTGGATTAAGTGAACTTCCTTGAATGGGTCATCCAAGATACCTACCTTAACAGCAGATATCCAAGATAACCTACCTATCTTAATGCCAATTCATTGTACATAAAATAAAAATACTTCAATTCTAGGGAAAAAAAATACATTGAAAGGAGTATCCACCATGATCAAGTAGGATTTATTCTGGGGATGCAAGGATGGTTCAAATTCATGAATCAATCAGTGTGATACATCACATCAACAAAACGAGGGATTAAAATCATATGAACATTTCAATAGATGCAGGAAAAGCATTTGATAAAATTCAATACTTGTTTGTGATAAAACCTCTCAGTAAAGTGAGTTTAGAGGGAACACACCTCAACATAATAAAGGCCATATATAAAAAAAAAACTACAGTTAATATCCTACTCAATGGTTAAAAACTGAGAGCTTTTCCTTTAAGATCAGTAACAAGACAAGGATGTCTATTCTCACCACTTTTATTCAACATAGTATTGGAAGATCTACCAACAGCAATCAGACAAAAAAATAAATAAATAAAAGGGATCCAGATTGGTAAGGAAAAAGTTAAACTATCACTATTTGCAGATGACATGATACTATATATAGAAAATGTTAGAAAGAGTCCACCAAAAAACTACTAGAAATAAAAAATAAATTCAGTAGGGGCACTGGGTGGCTCAGTCGGTTAAGCGTCCAACTTCAGCTCAGGTCATGATCTCATGGATTGTGAGTTCGAGCCCGCCATTGGGCTCTGTGCTGACTGCTTCAGATTCTGTGTCTCCCTCTCTTTCTGCCTCTCCCCTGATTACACTCTGTCTCTCTCTCTCTCCTTCAAAAATAAACATTAAAAAATATTACAAATAAATGAATTCAGGGCGCCTGGGTAGCTTAGTCGGTCAAGCGTCCGACTTTCGCTTAGGTCATGATCTCACAGTTTGTGGGTTCGAGCCCCACGTCAGGCTCTGTGCTGACTGCCAGCTCAGAGCCTGGAGCCTGTTTCAGAGTCTGTGACTCCCTCTCTCTCTGACCCTCCCCTGTTCACGCTCTCTCCCTCCTAGAAATAAATAAAAAACATTTAAAAAAAAATAAATGAATTCAGTAAAGTTGCAGGATACAAAATTAATACACATAAATCAACTGCATTTCTTTTTTTTTTTTTTTTAATTTTTTTTTTTTTAATGTTTTATTTATTTCTAGGAGAGAAAGAGAGACAGCGTGAGCAGGGGAGGGTCAGAGAGAGAGGGAGGCACAGACTGAAACAGGCTCCAGGCTCTGAGCTGGCTGTCAGCACAGGGCCCGATGCGGGGCTCGAACCCACGAACCGCGAGATCATGACCTAAGCGAAAGTCGGACGCTTAACCGACTAAGCCACCCAGGCGCCCCAAATCAACTGCATTTCTATACAAATAAAGTAGCAGATAGGGAAATTAAGAAAAACAATCCTATTTATAATTATAGCAAAAAGAACAAAATACCTAGGAATAAATATAACCAAGGAGATGAAATACCTATATTCTGTAAACTGTAAAACATTGATGAAAAGAAATTGAAGATGACATATATGGAAAGATATTCCATGTTCATGAATTGGAAGAATGAATATTGTTAAAATGTCTATACTACCCAAAGCAATCTACACATTTAATGCAATCCCTGTCGAAATAACAATAGCATTTTTCACAGAACTTGAGCAAATAGTACTAAAGTTTGTATGGAACCACAAAAGACCTTGAACAGTGGATCTTCACATGAAAAAGAATGAATCTGAACTCCTAACCCCTAATTCACATCATATAAAAAAATAGTCAAAAATTTTCAGAGATATAAATTTAAGTGTTAAAACTATAAGTCTTAAAAGAAAATATATATGTAAATCTTTGTGACCCTGCATTAGGCAATAGATTCTAAGCTATGACACCAAAGTCTCAAGTGACAAAAAATAAACTTCCATTAAAATTAAAATACTCTGGGGGCACCTGGGTGGCTCAGTTGGTTAAGCGTCTGACTTCAGCTCAGGTCATGATCTCATGGTTCGTGGGTTCGAGCCCCGAATTGGGCTCTGTGCTGACAGCTAGCTCGGAGCCTGGAGCCTGTTTCAGATTCTTTATCTCCCTCTCTCTCTGACCCTCTCCTCCTCACACTGTCTATTTCTCTCTCTCTCAGAAATAAATGAAACATTAAAAAATTAAAAAAAAAATTAAAATACTCTGTGCTTCAAAGGACACCATTAAGAAAGTGAAAAGACTAAGCAGCCTCAGAAGGGCATGCAACTCTTGATTTCAGAATTATGAGTTCAAGTCCCACATTGAATATAGAGATTACATTTTAAAATTTAAAAAAAAACTGAAAAGACAACCCATAGATGGGAGAAAATATCTGTGCATCATATGTCTGATAAGTGTCCAGTGTTGAGAACACAAAAAACACAACTCAAAAATTGAAAGACATGATCCAATTTAAAACTGGGCAAGAGATTTGAATAGATATTGCTATAAAGAAGATATACAAATGGCACATGAAAAGATGTTCAACATCTTTAGTCTTATGGAAATGCAAATTAAAATCACAATAAGATATGACTTCATATCCACTAGAATGGCTGTCATAAAAAAGATAAGCAATAATAAGTGTTGGTGAGGATGTGGAGCAACTGGAATCCTTATACGTTGCTGATGGGAAGTAAAATGCATAACTGCCTTGGAAAATGGTCTGGAAGTTCCTCAAAAGTAAACATAGAGTTACTTTATGACCCAGCAATTCTACTTCCAAGGCATATACCTAACAGAAATGAAGCATGCAGTCGTGTAAGCGCTCACTCAACAATGGTCACAGGAACATCATGCATGAAGCCACCCCCAAAAAAGGAAACAATCCCATGTCCATCAAATGATGAACGCATGAACAAACTGTAGTATATCATACAGTAGGATATTATTCAGCCATAAAAATGAGTAAGTATACTGACTGATGCTTCAACATGGATTAATCTTAAAAATATTTTGCTAAGTGAAATAAATGAGACCCATATATCTTATGATTGCAGTCATGTAAAATGTTCAGAAAAAGCAAGTCCATAGAGAAAGATTGGTGGCTGTCAGAGACTAGAGTGGAAGAGGGAGTAGCTAAAAATGGGCATGGGTTTCTTCGGGGGGTGATTAGAATATTCTGGAATTAGTGGTGATGACCGCACAGCCTTGTGAATATATTAAAAACTACTGAATTGCCTACTTTAAAGGGGTGAGTTTTTTCTTTTCTTTTATTGAATTGTACTTTTATTGTAATTGTACTTTTATTGAAGTACAGTTGACTAAAAGGGTGAATTTTAATGGTATGTGAATTATCTCTCAATTAAAAAAATGTCTTTTGAGGGGCACCTGGGTGGCTCAGTTGGTTAAATGTCCAACCAGGTCATGATCTCATGGTTCATGAGTTTAAGTCCCACATCAGACTCTGAGTTCAGAGCCTGGTGTCTGCTTCAGATTCTGTATCTCCCTCTCTCTCTGCCTCTCCCTCGCTTGTGTTTTCTCCCCAACTTGTGGTCTCTCTCTCTCTCTCTCAAAAATAAACATTTAAAAAACGTGTCTTTTTTAATATATAATAATTTTGAGTCATGTTATTACCTGAAATTCTACTAGGTTTAAATTTTGTGAACAATCAGCAATATGGAGTTTATATTCACAAGCTTATGACAAATGACATGTTTGAAAACAAACTAGAACATTCCCTACCTTAGATTGTTTTCCATTTCTATAATTCTTTCAGTTAGGTTCCAGTTGCCTCTTTCAAGATTCTGAATATTGATATTTTTCAAAGATTTAATTCTGGTTAGAGAAGCAGTAAGTTCCTCCAGGTCCTTGATATCCTCCTTCAGGGACATTATCTGGAAAGACTGCTGCACATTATTTTCTTTGTAACTTTCTAGCTCACTCTTCAACTCTTGCAATGAAGTTTCTTTTATGAAGAGCTTGTTTTGAAGATTTCTTAGCTATTAACAAAAGGAAAATGTTACTTAAAATAATAATTTTGGTTTTATTTTATTTTTTTAAATTTTTTATAGTTTATTTATTTTTGAGACAGAGAGAGACAGAACATGAGTCGGGGAGGGGCAGAGAAAGTGGGAGACACAGAATCTGAAATAGCCTTCAGGCTTTTAGCTAGCTGTCAGCACAGACCCCAACCTGGGGCTCGAACCCATGAACCGTGAGATCATGACCTGAGCCGAAGTCAGACGCTTAACCGACTGAGCCACCCAGCTGCCCCTAAAATTTCAATTTTAAAATTAATAATAATTGGTTCTGATATATTTTTTGTTAGCAGCAAAATTTACATTGCCTCCTTTCACCCTCCCCTCCAGAACTGAGTGGGTCTACCAGGCTTCTACTATTTGCCTTATCACTATGCTAAAGGATGAAAAACATCTTATCTGCATGAACACAGTCATATTGCCCTCACAAAGAAAAAATTCTATAAAAAAATCAAACTAAAAATACTGGCAAAACACATTAAATTTAACTTTAAGACACCAAGCCTTATTATACATATTAGTAACATTTTTTACAAGTTGTGTAACTCCTACTTATTACTACAGTGGTATATCTGACAATGCAAAAGTTTTAGCTCAATATCATAATGCCTAAACTAGACAATACAGTTACCAACTGAATACTTTAATATTTAGCACTTCTATATCTGGCTCTTCTTAAATATAGCCCCTCTTGCACCTGTTTCTCCATTATTGGGCAGAAACACATGATAATTATTTTTGTATGTCCCGCAAAGAAATAAAATTGATTGTAACAAAAAACTTTAAATGCATTTAGTGAAGAGAAAAAATGGTCTTCTCAAGACAATTGTGTTCCTGTGGAATTAAATAATAGGTTATTGGTAGAGAGAAAGATGACTCAGGTTGAAGGCATTCTGTTGAAATCACTAGACTCTTTTTTATTTTTTTTTAATGTTTTATTTATTTCTGAGAGAGACAGCATGAGCAGGAGGGTCAGAGAGAGAGAGGGAGACACAGAATCCGAAGCAGGCTCCAGGCTCTGAGCTAGCTGTCAGCACAGAGCCCGATGCGAGGCTCGAACCCACGAACTGTGAGATCATGACCTGAGCCGAAGTCGGATGCTTAACTGACTGAGCCACCCAGGCGACCCAACTAGACTCTTTTTTAAAATAACTTTAGGGACACCTGGGTTGCTCAGTTGGTTAAGTCTCTGACTTCAGCTCAGTTTATGATCTCAAGGTTCCTCACAGGTTTGTGAGCTCAAGCCCCACATATGGCTTGCTGCTGTCAGCGCAGAGCCTGTTTTGGATCCTCTATACCCCTCTCTTTGCCCCTCCCCTGATTGTGCTATAAATAAATAAATAAAACATTAAAATAACTTTAACACTGGGAAACCAGGCAATAATCATCACCAATTTTTGTTAAATTCAGAAAATTTCAATAAGGGATATGGAATACTTGTTAATATATATATTATCAAAAAGCAAGTCAAAATGAAACCTTGTAGAACCTTTCATATATCTGCTTCAGTAAATAAACATATTTATAGTTACCAATGATTTATGTACATGTAGAGAATTGCTTTTAAAAAGTACTTTGAAATTCTTGAAAATAACTCACATATTTTCTTTAGAGAATGTTTAAAACCTATGATCTTTTGTTGACAATTTGGTTTAAAAGGCTTCTTTATGAATTAGGAATAGACATAAACTTTAATCTACTCCAAATCTGAATTATCAAAAATCTGAAGGGGCACCTAGGTAGCTCAGTCAGTTAAGCGTTCAACTTGGGCTCAGTTCTGACCTCATAGCTTATGAGATTGAGCTCCTTGTAGGCTCTGTGCTGACAGCTCAGAGCCTGGAGCCTGCTTCAGATTCTGTGTCTCCCTCTCTCTCTGCCCCTGCCCTGCTTGTGCTCTGTCTCTCTCTCAAAACATAAACAAACATTTAAAAAAATTTTTAAAAATCCTAAATTTGTTAAATACTAGTAGTAAGTTATAGGATGGACAAGAAGAATAATGCTACCGATACTAAAACTGCTCCTGTTTTCAGGGGTTGGCATTACATTTTTCTGGGGGGAAAAAAGACAATTTAAGAAATATCTCCAGTGTCATAAAATGGATTGAATTTATATAAACTCCATTTAAATTTAATCTCTATTCACCTCCATATGGTAAAAGAGGGAAATTTTTAGAATAGAATTGAAAGAACTATTTATCTATGTATCTATGTATTTATTTTTTTAATGTTTTTTAAATTTTATCTTTGAGAGAGAGAGAGAGAGAGACAGAGTGTGAGTAGGGGAGGGGCAGAGAGAGAGAGGGAGACAGAATCTGAAGCAGGCTCCAGGCTCTGAGCTGTCAGCACAGAGCCCCACATGGGGCTTGAACTCACCAACCATGAGATCATGACCTGAGCCAAAGTTGGTTACTGAACCAACTGAGCCATCCAGGCACCCCTATATTTATACATTTTTAATGTTTATTTATTTTGAGTCAGAGAACATGTGTGCACAAGTGTGAGTGGAGGAGAGACAGAAAGAGAGAGAATCCCAAGCAGGCTTTTCACTGTCAGTGCAGAGCCTGATTGGGGCTCAAACTTACAAACCGTGAGATCATGACCTGAGCCGAATTCAAGAGTCAGATACTTAACCAACCGAGCCACCCAGGACCCCTCTATATCTATATATTTAAATAAAATGTGAGTCAGGCTATTGGTAGATGAGATAGCAGAAAAGAAGCCCCAAGGAATCAGGCCAATGTTGTAGGCTGAGTTTTATCTTCTCAAAATCTCACATGTTGAAGTGCTAACCCCCAGTGACCCAGAATGTGACTATATTTGAGGACAGGATCTTTAATTAAGTTAAAATGAGATCTTTAGGGTAGGCCATAGTCCTCTATGACTGATGTTCATATAAGAAGCAGAAATTTAGGGGCAGCTGGGTAGCTCAGTTGGTTGAGTGTCTGTCTTTAGCTCAGGTCATGATCTCATGGTTTGTGAGTTTGAGTCCCACATCAGGCTTACTACTGTCAGCACAGAGCCTGCTTCAGATCCTCTGTCCTCCCCACTCACCGTGCCCCTCCCCCACTTGCACATGCTCTCTTTTTCAAAAATACATAAACATTAAAAAAAAATAGAAGAGGAAATTTGGACACAGATACAGAAGGAAAACTTCATAAAGACACAGAGAATAGATGGCTACCTATAAGCCAAGAAAAGAGGACTCAGAAGAAATGAATCTTCTCACCACACATATACACACAGTCATTATGTAAGGTGACAAGAGGGATTAATTTATTGTGATCATCATTTTGCAAAATATATGTATAGCAAAACATGACATTGTACATCTGAAACTTATATAATGTTACATGGCAATTATATGGCAATAAATCGAAGAAGAAGAGGAAGAGGCGGAGAAGCAGTAGTAGTAGTAGTAGGAAGAGGAGGAGAAGTACTACTACTATTAATAGTAGTAGAAAGAGGAAAAGGAGGAGAAGAATTACTACTAATCCTGTTGATACCCTGTCTTAGACTTCCAGCCTCCAGAAAAACTTTTATTATTTAAGCCACCGAGACTGTGCCCCTCTGTAGTGGCAGCCCTAGTTAACTCATGCACATGCCATATATGGCTACGTTCTTGAAAGTCTGGTCAGTGTCCACAATATAAGCATTCAGAATACTTTACTTAAATGTAACCATGGACACAGTACAGGCACAGACAGCCACATCACAGTACCTTTAACAAAGACATGGCCTTTGGGATTCAATCATGGTTATCTTCAAGACTGTCTCTTGCAAAAAATAGCCTGAGGGCACTTGAGCTCAACTAAAGAATTCCTACACTCTTGGGGTACCTGCTGGCTCAGTCGGTTAATCAGGTTAAGCATCTGACTTTGGCTCAGGGCATGATCTCACCACACATACACACACAGTCATTATGTAAGGTGACAAGAGGGATTAATTTATTGTGATCATCATTTTGCAAAATATATGTATAGCAAAACATCACATTGTACATCTGAAACTTATATAATGTTATATGGCAATATACTTTGAGAATCAGCACCATGTTGGGCTCTGTGCTGACAGCTCAGAGCCTGGAGCCTGCTTCCGATTCTGTGTCTCCCTTCCTCTCTGCCCCTCCCACACTCACACTCTATCTCTCTCTCTCTCAGAAATAAATAAACATTAAAAAAATTCCTACACTCTAGTTTATCACCTAGTGTTAAGTGAAAAGTCAAGGCATTTTCTACAAAAGTGGTTTCTTTCTTCTTCATCTCTTGATATTACTTATACATCTCATCAAGTATTATATAAGACTAGTGGATATTTGACATTTGGTGCTATGTTTTAAATAGAAACTCAAACTTCCATTAGAAAATATATAATACATACAATTGATTATTATTTTTATATAGATTTTGAGCATGGCCGTTCCTAGCACTATTTTAACACTACAGCACTCAGTGGTCAACTCAAAAGTATTCAACAATGTACCATCTTCAAAAGGATTCATCTGGTAAAAAACAAACAGATGTGGGTCTAAATTAGTGATCCTCAGTAATAAGACAGTTCAATATTGAGAAAAAAGCAAAACTGAGTTAAGGTAATACTTTAAGTCCCTTATCAGAATGTTTCTCTCCCTGGTGTGCCTGGGTGGCTCAGTGTTTAAATGTGTGACTCTTGATTTCTGCTCAGGTTATGATCTCAAGGTTCATGAGTCTGAGCCCCACTTAGGGCTCCACACTAATAGCTCGGGCCTGCTTGGGATTGTCTCTCCCCCTCTCTCTGCCCCTCCCCTGTGTATGTTCCCTCCTCTTTCTCTCTCAAAAAAAAAAAAAAGTTTCTCTCCTTACTTTTACAGAGGATATACTTTCCCTTGACACTTTATTTTCAGATAACCCATATACCTCAGCTAAAAGATTCTTGTTTTTCACCAGCAAACCAGCAAGGTCAGGATGGACTGGATTAGCTGCTCTTTTGTTGTACATCACTGGGTTCTTGGTGGGAACCATTTTAACAGGTGGATCAACACAAACCTACAGAAAGAATTGCAAACTAATTAACTGAACATGTACCCTGCTGATCAAAACCAATAATATTTTAACCCACACAAACTTACATTAGTAGCTTCAAACAGAATACAACTTTAGAGTATTTATTTTGAGGTGTTATGGTAACAGATGCAATAGGTCTCAGGAAAATAGCAAGGAACTCATATTAAAAGATGTATATATAGTCAACAACACACATCAAATATATTAGATTGAGAGGAGATAGAAATGGAGATGATGGGGGGAAAAAAAGCATGAACAACCTTACACAGAAAGATTATACTCTACCATGAACCAACATAATTAACTTGACAGTGTACCTGAGATATAAAATAGGAGTAAACTCATTAAAATGTGGTAGGTGTCTTATTTAGTGCATTGCAATATCACTAAAACTTATTTTATTTATATATTTATTTTCATAGGGATTGCTATTTTTTAATTTTTTTAAACAATGAATATTTCTTTTTATTCCTTCTTAGTATTTCAGTGTATAGTTAGCTTTTAGGATTGAAGAAAGGCATGTACAGAAAATAACCATTATTTTTCTTTGCAATATCACTGAGATTTAAAACACTAATCATAAAAATAAAAATAACAACTATTATTTCCAGTTAGGCTTTTGATTTATAAAAGTAAGAAATATACAACCTACAATTTATTTTTTATATTGAGCTCTTTCAAGTATAGTTTGAAAACTTTTTATTTCATAGTTTAGAAGATATAGATAAGAAGGCATGCTGTAAAAGAATACGTCAGCATGTTTATATACAAAAATTAAAATAGTAAACAATTGTATTAATTTGTAATGAAATTCTATGCAGCAGTTCACATGCACAGACTAAGCTTATGTGAATCAAAAAGAACTTTTTTTTAATATAATTTATTGTCAAATTGGTTTCCATATAACACCCAGTGCTCATCCCAACAACTTTCAAGAACATAAGACTGAACACAAATAACACGGCAGAAAGTTAGGTCTAGAATATCATTTATGTAATTTTTTAAATGCCCAAAACATTAAAAGCATCCACATATAAGCAAGAACATAAAGCTTATACACTTAGTTCAGAATAGTTCTCTCCCTAAACAAAACAAAACAAAAGGCCCAAGATGGTCAAATAACACTTTCACAGAGGCTTGTAATAGCAGCTGCCCTGGGGGCCTGAGTGGCTCAGTCGGTTAAGTGTCCAACTCTTGGTATCAGCTTGGGTCATGATCTCACATTTCCTCTAATCCGGCTCTTTGCTGACAGTGCAGAGCCTGCTTGGGATTCCCTCTCTCTCTCTCTCTCTCTCTCTCTCTCTCTCTCTCTCTCGATCTCTGCCCCCCCCCAATAAATAGTTAAAAAAAAAATAGCAGCTGCACTAACACCTCCATCTCTTACCACCCCAGACCCTGGGTGCACTCAACCAACTTCAGCCTAGTATCCAAGATACCTAATGATCAACAGCAGAGACTCCAGGGCCTGCCCCAGTGCTAGGAATGGCAAAGATTCTTACTGGTGGATGTTTGATCTTCTTAAATCTTTTATATGATCCATCCCAAGTGCTTGAGATGGCATCAAAAGTTACAAAATGGTCCTCAATTGTTACCAGTCAAGTTTTACCTCTTTTAAAAGAATAAGTGAAGCAAATTAGGGCAGGGGGTGTCAAATATAAATCTGTGCAATGGGTACATGTGTATTCCATATGTATGTCACAATTCTTTATCCATTCATCCGTGACTTACTTTTACTATAAAACATTTCCTCTCCTACCAAAGAAACTAAGCTTGTCATTCTTATTTAATCCCAATATGGGGGTTAGGAAACAAACTATTCTACTCTGAATTTTCACCCCAAGCTCAGAGTTTATCACCAAGGAACTGTATGCTAAAAACTAGGTGGAGTTTTCTAGTGACCTTAAAAACATCAACGGAAGGGACATCAACTGATCCAAGAGGATATTTAACCTGCAGAAAGATTCTCATTAGGGTCTAGCCCTAATAAAACAAGGCTGTAAACCAAGGAGATAATATGGTGCACTAGAAAGGTAACAGGACTCAGACTACTTAGTTCTGTCCCCAAATCATGTGGCTTCTCTCATTCAGAGGCCTGTTAGAGTCTATTTTTATATCGTTTTGGGATTATTGGGCCTCAGTGAAATGTTGGAACCACCAAAAAGACAAATATAAATAAAATCCACTTTGAGGTTCCATTCGATTTAGATGCTTCACTGATCCTTATTCTAGAGTCAAGACGGGAATCAAAAGAAATTAGAGTTCATTTGACCTCATGTCTTTGATCAGTCACTAGCAAAGACCTAAAAGGGTGCTAGCACAGGCAGGTGGGCAAACTGAACTGGACTTTCCTTTCTCTTGACTATCAATTGTACCTCTATCTTCTAAGAACAGAGCAAAAATTAAATGCCAGTGTACAACTCACCTCTGGGCTATTTTTCTGAGATGTGTGAGCTGATAGATGCTTGACTTTTGATGGCTTAGCCTCGCGAAGCCCTTTGCTTTGGCCAGTCGTAAGCCTTGCTGGATCTGAGTGATTTAAAAATTGGAGAGGGCCTGACATGCTGGAGATACAAGCAGCATGAAACAGATCTAGTAATGGTGATCCAAGGTGCTTCCAAGGAGAGTTTGTAACGAGCAGTCAGGAATTGATGCTGAAGTATGCACAGCATCAATAGCAATGTCTTCAGGAAGGTTCCACTTCAGATCTTCACATCTTAGCCAGGCTTCAGAAGGAGCTGCCCGCTGAAACTGTTGCTTGGAGACAATACAGATCTACTTTCTAAAGATCAAACCGCTGTTTAAACTGTAACTGGTGCAGTGTGCTAATGTACATATATGTGATCATATCATACTTAAATGCTACTTATGAATCATATCTAGAGACATCAGACTTGCAAATATCCTTCATTTTCAATTTCTCTGTCAGGATTCCTAACTACATCCCTCTAAATTCAGCCAAAAGATAAAAAGTCTAACATGAGTTTATAATGGAGCAACTGATAATTCATAATGTTCTTTCTGCCCCACTGGAATGTACTTTTACATTATGATTTTCATAAATTCAATTTCCCAGGAACTTCAATAGTGCCTTAAATCCATACTCCCTACTCAGTTCAACATCATATATTATCTTTCTTTTCGGAGGTTAAAGAAGGCAAGAGAGAAGAGCCATCTTCCAAATGAATGCCCACATTTTATTAGCCAATAAGCTGGAGATTTCTTTTTTAAGATCAGGGGATGTATGGGGAAAGAGGAGGTGAAAGCAGCATTTAGAAAGACCAGAAGGGCTGCATCCAAGTGGGGTATGTGTTTCCTTGGCTGGTTGGTATCTCTCAAAAAATTGAACTTTCCCAGAATAAAGGAATTTTCACACAGAAAAAGAAAATCAAGATGATGTGATTTGAATAACATAGAACAGAAAACATGAAGGCCTGATTTTATTCACTAACCTGAAATCAATTTTGAAATTCCTGTATTATTTCATTCTTTTGATATTTAAAGCAACCATTAAAGTACAAATCTCTCTGAGGCACCTAGCTGGCTCAGTGGGTACAGCATGTAACTTGATCTCAGAGTTGTGAGTTTGAGCCCCATGTTGGGTACAAAGATTACTTAATAAAGTCTTTAAAAATAAATAAATAAAATACGGGGCGCCTGGGTGGCTTAGTCGGTTAAGCGTCCGACTTTCGCTTAGGTCATGATCTCGCGGTTCGTGGGTTCGGGCCCTGCGTCAGGCTCTGCGCTGACTGCCAGCTCAGAGCCTGGAGCCTGTTTCAGTCTGTGACTCCCTCTCTCTCTGACCCTCCCCTGCTCACGCTGTCTCTCTCTCTCCCAGAAACAAATAAAAACATTAAAAAAAATAAATTAAAAAAAATAAAGTGCAAATATCTCTAATGAGACTTTAGTCTTTCCTTTATTCTCATTATTTAGTACCTACAATCATTACTACATTAATTGCATTTCTAAAAACCAAAGAAGGGAACTGAAAAACAACTGAAGTTTTGGTGAATGAAAAGGGAGGATAAACAGTTCCTAATTTCTGGAACAAGAATGACAGTGGAGACAAAAGTCTTCTTAAGAACTCGAGGGGCACCTGGGTGGCTCAGTCAGTTGAGCCTACAACTTCGGCTCAGGTCACAATCTCACGACTCTGTGAGTTCGAGCCCCACATTGAGCTCTGTACTGACAGCTCAGAGCCAGGAGCCTGCTTCAGATTCTGTCCTTGTCTCTCTCTCTGCCCCTCCTTTGCTCATCCCCTCTCTTTCTCTTTCTCTCCCTCAAATATAAACATAAAATTAAAAAAAATTTTTTTAATGTTTTATATATTTCTGAGAGAGAGACAGCGTGAGCAGGGGAGGGTCAGAGAGAGAGGGAGTCACAGACTCTGAAACAGGCTCCAGGCTCTGAGCTGGCAGTCAGCACAGAGCCCGACGCGGGGCTCAAACCCACGAACCGCAAGATCATGACCTAAGTGAAAGTCGGACGCTTAACTGACTAAGCCACCCAGGTGCCCCATATAAACAAAATTTTTAAAGAATTCTATCTTTTACTTTTATTTCCTCACCATTTTATGAAAATTATGCTCTATTAAAAATAAAGTTACTTAATGCTTCTAAAAACCATTAAGAACTGCTTAATGCTTTCCTCACCATTTTGTGAAAATTATGCTCTATTAAAAACAAAGTTACTTAATGAGTTACTTGATGCTTGTAAAAACCAGGCTATATTATTATGTGGACCAAATTATACCTCTAAAAGCATGGACATAGACATATAAAGCCTTCAATATCAGTTCAAATACCTCATCATTCCTCAGTTACTCCAAGGTAAATGTAATCTCTTTCTCTAACTCCTGTAGTGTATGATCTATATTTTTCTTTCAACTGTTACCTCATTCAATGTTGGATTATATAAAAATCTTATCTCTCCTACTACATTAAAGGTACTAAGAGCAGGATCTATCTCTGGTTTTCCTCTATCAATCTCAAGAGCAGGCACAAAAAATACACACTGAACAACTAAAGAACCCAACAGAAGAAAAAAAGTTCCTTAATTTTTTTAACTCATATGGATAATAGTATTGTTTTCCCAAACTAATCTTATATAATAAAAATGTATTAGGAGACTAAAGTAAACAAAATAGAGTAATATGACACAATTATTCCGTGATGACAAGTTCATAGATGACTATTCTGTTTTCTATTCATTTAAAAGATTTATCAATACTTCAAATTAGAAAAGATACAGTATGCTATACTATGCATCAGAAAGTAAGAACCACAAATTTTTACCTTATCAAACACAAGAGAAAAGTCCAAATTGAAGTTCAATTCCCAGAATAAACCTGAATTATCCAGTGTGAGTGGCTGCCTGGCATAATTTGCCAGTAGAATGTTTGTACATCAAAGAAGCCTGTTTCTAGGTGAACGCATCACAGAACTCCAAGGAAGGGACAAGTCCTTCCAAAGTGATGCAGTAAGTTAGCCCCTGGCTATTTTCCTAATTAATAAGGTGAAAGCACAAAGTGATTTTCATCAAGCACTAGTAAACCTAAGAACTCTTAAGAAAGTGATTCCACTGAAAGTAAACCTTCCAGCAAATTTGGAAGGTTTTTTTGTGGAATTCTTGAAATAGGTTAAAGTTTTGTCTCCAATACCTCATTCACGGGAGAAGTACCTTGAGAGGAGAAAATTATTTGATTCAATCTACTATTCCTAAAGCAGAAGATGATTTGTCTGGAAAACTGATATTCTAATTTGAGGCAAATACTTTTTTACACTAGAGAAAGTGTGTCCCTAATGTTTTTCTTTTCTTCTTTTTTTTTAAGAAACTATTCCAACCATGTCCCTTCCTTCTTAATCCCCCAAAGGAGGAAAAGAACCATCATCAAAGGGCAAAGAGAGGCTGCAAAAGCAACACCAAAGTCAGCTTCATACTCAGGAAAGGACACTGCACCTCCTCCTTGTGGTTGTAGGTACTCTACACGTTGCGAGAAACTTCTCCAGTAACGAACTATAGAAATGATCTCTGGGGCACCTGGGTGGCTCAGGCCATGATCTCAACAGTTCATGAATTTAAGTTCTGCACTGGACTCTGCTGTCAGAGCAGAGCCTGCTTCAGATCCTCTCCTCTGTCCCCATCTCTTTCTGCCCCTCTCCCACTTGCGTGTGCACTCTCTCCCTCTTTCTTTCAAAAATAAACATTAAAGGGGCGCCTGGGTGGCTTAGTCGGTTAAGCGTCCGACTTTCACTTAGGTCGTGATCTCACGGTTCATGGGTTCGAGCCCTGCGTCGGGCTCTGTGCTGACTGCCAGCTCAGGGCCTGGAGCCTGTTTCAGTCTGTGACTCCCTCTCTCTCTGACCCTCCCCTGCTCACGCTGTCTCTCTCTCTCTCCTAGAAATAAATAAAACCTTTAAAAAATAAGTAAATAAACATTAAAAAAATAAAATAAAAAAAGAAATGATCCCTGAAAGTATAGTCTTCCTATTATGTATTCTTGATACCAGAACCATTAGGATGATATTTCAAATATCTTCTCATCTTCTTGGTTCTCAACTTTGCCTGCACATTAGAATCTCAACAAAAACTTCAAAAAAATACTAAATTCCTGATCCCACTCCAAGTTCTGACTTAATTGGTCTACACTGGAGCCTATGCATAATGCTTTTTTCTTTAAAGCTACACAGGTAATTTTAGTGTGACTTTAGGGTTGAGAATGGCTGTTCTACTAGAAAGGAGGCAGCAGAAAGTGATATTCATTGGAGTGAGAGTAATAGTAACTAACCTTAGAAAATAATATTATTTTCCCCCTAAAACAAGATTTTAAAAATTATATCCTCAAGCAGTAGAACAGAAGCATGAACAAGACAGGAAATGTACTACACACTTTTTCTGGTTGAAAAAGTGAACAAGTATATAAATAAAATTATTTTACATAGTGATAAGAGTTGTGAATAAAGTAGACTAATATGACACAGTTAAATGAGTAGGCAGGAAACTTTTGATAGTGTTATCAAAGAAGCCTGTTTTATTGTCGGAGGCGGCTCCAGCAGGTCCAGGGGTGCCTGAAGGGTGGACGGTGTCGGGGGGAGGGAGAGAGAGCGAGTGAGCCCCGAGATTCTTTCTGGTCACCAGGCAGGCATCTCTGCTCTGACTGGGGCTCAACTTTGTTTTTGAGATGGCACAGAAGTGGCATTTGCCTTAGACAATGATTTCTGACAACAAACTTCTTTGATATGTAAGAATTTCCCAGAACATAGATTTGTAGAAGACTCATGCATAACCTTTATCAATAGCGATTGAGGTAGGGGATTTAGATGCTTATCTTATGGGGAAGGAAGGCATCTTTAGCATACTAGACAATGTTTTTAGCAGAAGAGGGTGAAGTTACTTCTCTGTGAGCAGGGGTCAAAAACAGGTCTTTCAGGAGATACCTTTGCTCTCAAAATCACAAAAAGAACCTCCTCAATAGGTTCCTTCACAGGGAATGATCAGCATATACAAGGCCAGAAAATGCTCCAGGCAGAAACAAATGGGTGGGGGTAGATATTTGCCCTTAACTTTAAATTAGGCTCTTTGCCTCAGGGCCAGACTCAAGCCTCCTTTATTATGTAAGTCTTGCATCTGCAAGACCCTTAGGAAGAGCCTTTTGACAATCATCTTTGGAAAGGCAAGGACATGCTTTTCCTTATGAGCAATCTGTGTGGGGAATATTCGTCTGATCTGGAATATTGTGAGACCTGGTCAATACCAGCAGCCTCATTTACAACATGAACCAGTAGTAGCAGAAGGAGATACCAGTTTCCTTGCTGTGACTGCCATCCAGAGAGGCCGGTGCGGCTCCTGGCATTTTATATATACTGACATAAGTTAAATTATATTATACATTTTATTGGATAACCTGATCTTATTGTTTAACAAGAGGGGAAAGGGATCTCACACATCTATATGTATCGATTACGTATCTATTGCTCCTTTAACAACTGTATCCACCCTGATGAAGATTTTTTACTGTTGAAATCAACACTGTGAGCTCAGAACACTTTTATACATGTTATTCTAGGGTAAATTCCTAAAATTGGAATTACAAGGTTAAAGAAAGCATACAGTTAAGTTTCTGATAGATAGTATCAAATTTCCCTCAAAAAGGTTGGAACAAATGGAGCTTTTGCAAAAAGCATGCATTTTTCCCCAAACAACTGCCATTAAGATCATTTGAATAAAAATATTTTGTCTTTCTATTCTCTGTGAAATGATTGTCAATCTTTACCTGATTTGACCAATCTGCAATATATTTGAATTACCCCTTTTCCCATAAAACACTTTCTTTACCTGTCTTCTAAAGCAGTGTGCCTCCGTGGTTTGCCTTGTAACAGAATGGACTCTTGCTTTTCTTATAAAAAATTGTCTTAGGGCACCTGGGTGGCAAGCATCCGACTTTGGCTCGGGTCACGATCTCAGGTTTGTGGGTTTGAGCCCCGCATCAGGCTCTGTGCTGACAGCAGGGCACCTGGAGCCTGCTTCAAATTGTGTGTCTCCCCCTCTCTCTCTGCCCCTCCCCTACTCGTGCTCTGTCTCTCAAAAATGAATAAACATTTAAAAACTTTAAAAATTGTGTTAATTCTTATTATTTATTTTTGAGAGAGATTCAGCATGAACAGGGGAGGGGCAGAGAGAAGAGGGAGACACAGAATCTGAAGCAGGCTCCAGGCTCTGAGCTATCAGCACAGAGCCTGACACAGGGCTCGAACCCATGAACCATGAGATCATGACCTGAGCCAAAGCTTAAGGGACTGAGCCATCCAGGTGCCCTTGGACTTGCTTTTCAATCTGCCCTCCAGATTTTTCTTCATCCTCTTGAATTCTAAACACTGAGTGTCCTCGGAATCAGTCCTTGGTCCTCTCTCTAGCTATACCCAATCCCTTCATGGGCTCTTATCTGATCTCATGGATTTAAATATCTATTTCATTTGGATGTCTAAGAAGCATCTGAAAAATTTAAAACGGAATTAAAATTCAAAATCTGCTCCTGACAGTGTTATCTTAATTCAATTCAATATATGACAACCTCACCTTTCCAGTTACTCAAACCAAATCCTTTCATTCTCTTACACCCCAATTTCCTCTTTTTATACAGGTTTATGACCAAGTCTGATTCCCTAGAAACGCCTTTCTTACCGCATTTCTAAAACAGTACTCTCCTGCCTCTTACCACCATTACCCATCCTCTTAGCTTGTCTATTTTTAAAAAATGATATGCCAATATCTAAAATTAGAGCATATATTTCTTTAATTGGTCTTTGTTTTGCTACCAGAATATTAGCTGGGGGCAGGATATTCATTGGTTCACTATGTTATCTCGAGCACCCTGAGCAGTATTTTTTTTTTTAAGTTTATTTATTTATTTTTGAGAGGGGGAGAGAGAGGATCCCAAGCAGGCTCTGTGCTGACAGCACAGAGCCCAACAAAGGGCTCAGTCCCATGAACTGTGAAATCATGACCTGAGCCAAAATCAAGAGTTGGATGCCACCCAGGCACCCCAGTATTTTTTTGTTGTTAGCACAGTAGCCACTCAATAACTGTTCAATGAATGAATGAATGATATAGGTCATATAAAGATATTATTATTGAAAACCAGTTGTTGAGGTGGAAAAGGCAATATATTTAGAGATGAAGCATCAGGTTTGGGGCTTGTCCCAGGCACAGCTATACAACTTTGGGCAAGTTATCCTTCAAAGTCTGTTTCTCCAGATGTAAATAGGGGTTTTGCCATCTTCCTCAGCAAACAAGACAGCTGAAAATAGTCAATATGTTTTTCACTACCTGCAATTTACCAGGAACATTTGCTTCAGTTTTCTTAATTTTACCTGTTTAGGTCAAACACAATATAAGGATATGTGTTCAGAGGTCCTCATATTAAGTTATTACATTATATCATTATATTATATATTATTACTATTTTTAACTAGTCTCCATGCCCAGCATGGAGCCCAACACAAAGCCTGAACTCACAACCCTGAGATTAAGACCTGAGCCGAGGTCAAAAGTCAGACACCTAACTGACTGAACCACCCAGGCACCCCTATATTATGTATTATTAAGTCATACTTCTAATTTGTCCACTTGTGCAAACTTTATCAATGGTAAAGTAAATGCAATTACTAGAAAAAAATTCACCAAAAATTATTTAATTCTACTACTGGTGGTGGTTGTACAAGTCTGTGAATCAACTAAAAAGCATTCCATTGTACACTCCAATCAGGTGAACTTTATGGCATATAAATTATATCTCAATACAACTGTTAATAAAACAAAAAAGAGATTCTAGTTCCATATATAAGGTTACTGTAAAATATCCTCAGAACTTAGGAATAAAGCGAAAACCACCTACCAAATACCGAAAAATTAAAAAAGAAAAGAAACAAGTTCAAAAGATGAGCTCTACCAATAACTGACACATGCCACCCTAAAAAAATGTTTTATAAGAAACCCAGGTATTTGGTCAAATCCAAAATGACCTGAACAAAATCACTATCTCAGAGAGATATCTGCACCTTCCTGTTCACTGCAACATTACTTACAATAGCCAATATATGGAAACAATTTATGCCCATGGAAGAATGGATAATGTTATACACAATCCAACCCACCTACCCACAAGACTCTTCAATTTTAAAAAAGGAAATTCTGCCTTTTAGAATAACACGGACTTTGAGAGCATAGGCTAAGTGAATAAAGAACAGAAAAATACTGTAAGTTGTCATTTATATGGAATCTAAAAAAGCCTACTTCGTAGGAACAGAATAGTGATTGCCAGGGCGTAGGGGAAATGGGAGACTTAAAGAGTATAAACTTCCAGCGATAAGACGAGTAAGTCTGGGGAATCTAATGTTCAGCGTGGGGACTATAACCAACGACTATCAATACTGTATTATACACCTGAAAGTAAAGAAAGACCTGAAATGTTACTGTCACACACAGAAGCTACTGTAATTATGTAAGAGAATGACGATGTTAGCTAACCCTCTTTTGGTAACTA